TTTAAATTAGTCATATTGACTGCTAAGCTTATTCTGATAATGTCTAATTATATTGTATTTATTCATAGCACTGATGGAAATGTGACAAATTAAACAATGTACTTTCGAATTTTGAGAAATGCAGATATATTGCAACTCCCATTATTCTTTAAAATTGCCACCTTCTTCATGTACTTTGCGTTTTATTTAATCCCTGAAATGTTTTTTTTCAGGTATTCTTTTGCTAGCTTAATGTGTTTCCATAATTAGGTCATATTGAAAACAAAACAAAAAATTTAATTTTCTAAAACTGCTTTCAGTAAATTGTCGTTTTCTGTGTGAACAATCAATTTCACCTCGAAAGGGTTGAAAAATGTATTACATTCAGATATAGAAAAACTTACAAAGTATTACAAATATTGTTGAGTGTTCGAGGGCCGCATTGGAAGTTCTCTGTGGCCGCATGCGGCCCGCGGGTCGCAGGTTTGACTACCCTGGTCTATGGCATCTGACAACGAAAACGCCACGAAACTACGAATTCGAGTATTTTGAGGTTATCCCATTTCCTGATTACTGATTCCTATTTTGTGTTTGCATTTTCTCATAATAGGGTGACAAAGAGCAAAATCGAAAAATTTCAAAAGAGGAAACTTCTTGTTCTCAATTGTGGATGGAGAAACGGTGGCAAAGCCAAAGAGAGTGATGTGTTTTTTTGTACGAGATGACATGCCAGCATCAGTACCAGAAACAGCTGGCCTTGGATTATATGGAATTGCTGGGTATGTTTAATAAACTAATATGAAGCATTAACTATCATAAAAAAACAGAGAAATTATGTTCTGGAAATTATTTTTGTCGGTCATCAGCTCGAAGGCCCATTCGCGATAACCCTAGATATATATGTACATTTCCTAATAAACCAACGATGAAGTAGATGAGAAGAGTCCCTTGCTGCTTACGTTTCCGCTAACCCCTGATCACCTATATATATTAAAGTTTTTATATATTTCACCCAATATACCAGTTATTAATATATACAACGTGTCCTGATATATTATTTGCGGTCATTATACGATATAGATTGACAGCCTGGATCGGATGGATTCTCGTATGTAAAATAAAAAAAGGGGAAACAATTTTTATCAGTGGCGCGGCAGGAGCAGTCGGAAATGTTGCAGCTCAGATCGGAAAAATTAAGGTAACTTCTATGACTTGCAAAAAAATTTATTTCTGTTTCACATAAACATAAGTACGCCACTTTTTTTTTATACAATTCAGGGATGTACCGTTGTCGGATCTTGCGGAACAGACGAAAAAGTAGAATTTTGTAAAAATATTGGATATGACGCAGCATTCAACTACAAAAAAGAATCTGGAAGTTTAGATGCAGCTATCAAACGGGTTGCCCCGAAAGGAATAGATTGTTACTTTGACAACGTAGGTTTAAAGCATACTGTTTTATAGTATTTTGATGTTCAATAGCTTGTCAAAATTGATAAAAAAAAATATAGCAATGTAGTAGGCCTATACCATTTTAGGGAAACCTACTAAAATTTGCTTTTGCAACTTTCCCTTCTCAATTTCGAAATATATCCATTATTCTTCTACTAAGTAAACAAACAATTCCAGGTTGGAGGTTCTTTCTCAAGCACTATTTTACGTCACATGAATTCTGGTGGACGAGTAGGAGTATGTGGATCTATATCTGCTTACAACGAAACTACACCTGTACTAGGTGAGTAGACTGTTCGCTACAAAATACATTCTTCCCATAAAGTGTCCTTGTTTATCATTTACAAAACGTATTGTTCAGTTCCTATTCTTCAACCTACCATCGGTAAAAATGAACTGATATTGCAAGGATTCCGTTTGAGATCTCACGAAAGTAACTATAAGGAAGCATATGAAGATCTGAAAAAATGGACGATTGAGGTAAGCTAATCATCATATGTACCTATTGTTCATGGGTATTATATTTTCTCAAAATATTTTTTATTTCTTCTGTAGGGAAAGATGAAAAATTACGAAAAAGTTACGAAAGGATTCGAAAACGTTCCCGATGCATTTATTGATATGTTGCGAGGAGGAAACGTTGGCAAAGCGGTTGTTAGGCTGTGAATTCCAATCACCATACTATCATTATCATTAATAATTATATTGTATTAATTTAACAGTATTACAATTTGATTCGTACGCCCGTACTAACCACATATTTCATACGTAACACATTTTGATGACGTCATAATGTCATGCATCTCCTTTAAACGGGTAAACCGGTTTGTCGAGATTAAAACAATCATGCAAGACCTTTTAAGCCAGGGTGGTCCAAGGTTGCGAAGTTGGCGGGCCGCAAAAACTTTTGAGAATGTCTCGCGGGCCGCAGTCGGAGAGAAGAACCCAAATATGATCAAAACATCGCGAGTTTACTCACTTTAAATATATTTAGAAAAGAGAGTTTACCGTTCTAATCAGCTGCATGGAGATATATAAAGCCTTTTAGCTATTTTTAAATTGCTCCCCGAGAAATACCGTGGTATTTTCGGTATCTTTTTTCGTGTTTGGTTTTGTAATGTCGCTTCAAATTATATTCTTCCGTGACAGGTATTACTTGAAGTATAAACTTTTAATTTTGATTTTTTTCCCAGGTACTCATCATAGAGTGTTTACTTCTTCAGAAAACATAGTATGGAGGAGTAGTAAAATTCAGGTATTGTTTGCATTTTTCATCAACCCACAGAATGACAAGAAGATTAACCCCAAAAATGAGGAGCAAAATTGCTGTTCGGCAAGAAGCTTATAAATCAGTAAAACAAACTCTTTACCCGAGAATTTGGAATTAGTTCGGCTCCTACACGACGAACAATTCATCGTAAATTTATGGAAAATGGATCTGTAGTAATGCACAAATATCAGGAAGTCCAGTGCGGACGCTCTGAAGAAAAATATTCAAAACGAATTAATTCCGAATTCTGAGGAGCTGGGTTTTCTTTACTGATTTATATGCCGTTTGCCAAACAGCAATTTTGCACCTCATGTCTTGGGTTAATCTCCGTGTCATTCTGTGGGTTGATGAAAAATGCAGACAATACCTGAATTTTACTACTTATATATCCATATAATACTGTGTTTTTTGAGGAAATGAACGCTTTATGATGAGTACCTGAAAAGCAAATCAAGATTTAAAATGTGTATATACTTACTTTTATTTTTTGACTAATTTTGATACTTGCAGCGTGAGCAGGCCTTGTGCTATCAAAGAACAACCAAGTCTGTCTAAGTTGACTCCGGACCCAGCTAAAAAAAATGGAGCGTGGCGCTAAGTCAGCTCTGCGGTTCGTCACTGCTGTCACATAGCCAACGCTTAAAAATAGAGGAGTGTTACTAAAATGAAGGCCCAAAACGTCTCTCCAAATGAGGAGTGAGGCTACTTGACGCTAGTTTGAAGTACGAATTTTAGATAAAAATCATCGCCTTGGTCCTATCTTCACAAGACAATTCATTCTTCTTGTATATACCAATCACAGCACGACTTTCCCATATTTACACCTTCTTGAAGTTTATGGAAACAACATTGAAAATGTATAATAAATATCTGCGAACGATTTAGTGCACGCTGAAATTTCACTGCGGGCCGCACGGAATTTGTTGGCAGGCCGCGGTTTGAACCACCCTGTTCTAACTAATCGAAATGAATCCTTGTTTGCAATTTATTATCGACTTTTGCTGCTTTTTTAACATTACCCATAATATCAGCATATCCTTGGTGCAATATCGAGGATTAAAAAATATTTTTGTTACTTTTTTTTACATAGATTTTCTGTTAGCCTTTAATGTTCGGTTCTGCTGTGAGATTCACCTTAAATGAGTAATGTCCAGCATATAAACATGCATAAATTAAATAAATTGATTTTACTCTCAGTGCATTGTCCTAGTTCAGCGGTTAATATACTTTTTTGCATATTTTACCCTATTATCAAATGAGATTACAAGATTTACCCCCAATGTTTGCTGTGGATTGGTGATCCTTTATTGGAAATTCGTCAAACATAGTATAGTGAGGTTGCTTAAATTATTAAAAGGTTGCTTAAATAATTTTAACGTTTGGCAAGCATATCTATGACATGTCGAATCATAGAGCAAAATGACATCAGTTATTTTAGCAGCAACTTGTTTTTGTTTTTAACGAATGAGACGCGTTTTACTTGGACATAATTGTGAAAAAGAGAATTTGGAATGTCGATACCTTTGTACATGAGTTTTTTGAAATAATTTCATGTTTTTTAAATCTCTAATGGTGGTTCAATACGTATTCTAGCAAGTTCTGATATGAGTGTAAACTTTGACAGTATGAACGACGAACATAGGCTACTTGCCAGTTGCCACAGATAAATACCAATAAAATTCGTACTCATTTATTATCGTAACCGATTGAACCGCGTTGTCAAACATATCTTGCATAGTATTTTATTAATTATTAATCTGGTATACCCGTTAAATCTAGCAAAGCTAATAAAAATATACATTATATCGAGTATTAGGTGGGCGCGTTAATATAGATGAATCAGGATGCAATCATAATGACACAGCATGATTTAAATTTGTGCAACGTCATTCTAGAATCTAGAGAAATGATGACTCTATACGAAAAAGGTCAGAGTTGTTTGCTATGGTTAAGTAGACGCGTTTAAGACAAAGAACAAGAACTATTTATCTTTCAAATAAGTTTGGCCAATGCAAATTCGCGACTCAGCATTTTTACCTGAACGGGGGACGAATATTGACAGAGGGAGTCACAATCGTTCACTGACACACCTAAAAGCTGTATATATTGAATAGTCTCTGCAGAAAGCGTGGATTCATTTTAGCTGGCACAGACTCAAAGCAATTACAATTAAACGCTGCTAGTGTTACTTACAGCGAGGCGGAAAAGAATTCCATAATGTAGATGTAGAGAGTGTCATGTAGGCCCTACTTCCTTTTGATCGCATGCTTTTTTAATGTGTATATATAATTTGTTAGTTTAGATTTAAAACATAAAATAAACTATTCAAAACGCTGCCATCATGAAGTGCAAAAAGATAATCTTGAAGCAAATGTATAATGGGTTTCCAAAAAAGTCTGATTTTGAGATTGTTGATGAAGACGTTGCTGAAGATCTACAAAATGGAGGTTTGTAATAAATTGATTTTTATTGAAAACACTTTAGTGATGTTTCCAAGTTCATCGGTAGGCAATTGCAATTATAGTCAGATTGATCAGCAGAGAAATTGTGTCCTCGTGACTGATATTGACTGTAGGAGTTGTTTAAAATATTCCAAGCCAAGCCCCAATCTTCACTCACTTAGTCTGTATAAAAATAGTATGTATTAGTTTGTATTCGTGTTGTGGCGTCCAGCATTGTACATTTATGCAGTTTTGTTTGCTATCATTCACCTCTCGCCCACGACATACATACAATGATTTGTAAAGCAACATTTCTCTAAATTTGATGACATTATTCGTCTTGAAGACGTCGTATGTAATATGTATTGCTGATCGATTAATTAAAATCTGGTATCTGTTTGTTTCAGAATTTCTCTACGAGTCTCTCGGAATCAGCGTTGATCCGTATATAAGGTATTATTTGAGCAATCAGAATTTTTTTTAATAAACCAGCAACGTTTTATTACCTACGTCACAGGTTGAAAATATCTTTCACACTTCTGACATTCAATGATTAAATTATCGCATTTTTAATACGCTCTCAGTAAATAAAGTTTCTTTGAAAATCTGAATTTTTTATAATGTTTAAAAATCTTCTCTGAAATATTATCATCACATCTTGAATCCTATTCTTCATATTATTCCAGAGCATATGTCGGGGCTGTATACAAGCCTGGGGATACAGTAATTGGATCTGCACTTGTACGGTGAGGCAACAAATTTGTTTGAAATTTTAATACCGGTAACTGGTATTTAATCAAGTGGTATTTTCGTCTACATCTATATCCTATAGTAAACATCGCAAATGGTGAGTCAATGCGCGCCGATATACGCGTTGTGTACCATGCTTTTGTACAACGTAAAATACCATTGACAATTTTATTTGACAATAAAAAATGACAAAATATCGCAAGAACAAAGTTGCCGTTAACAAGGGTTGCGTGAAGTTTTGCGTTTGCAGGCCTCGCAGAGTTTCAACGGTACTTTTATTTATATTATTTCAAAGTCGAATTTTATGAATTCAGTAATGAATCGTCGAACTTTTCAACCGATGTTGAAATCAAGCATCAAACTTTTAGTACTTGATATTCATCGGAATCGAAGTCCAATATTCCGAGCTCAAAGTCAGGGTCATTTGGTCAAATCATATTTAATCACACAAACAAAACTGTATCCAACGTCATTGTGGGTTGACAGCTATGACAAGCGGGAAGTTTATTTCAAACAACTTGTTTCCGCATAATCCCTCATAATTCATATCTCGGACCGAAAGCCTATTGATTTTGGATGAATTATGTCGTATAATTAGCGAGTTATTGATTGATTAGTGACGGGACACGCGGTGTCGCGGAGTCAGAGCGAAGGGTACACGCCGCTAGATCGATAAGTCGGCGGTCTATGATCGCTATCTCGGTTATAAATTCATTGATGTCTATTTTCAGTTCTTCAACGTGGAACTTCGTCAATATTTGTCATTGCGTGACACAAAAAATACTTTTTAGCTGGGATCCCGTTTTGCTTTGCAAACTCCAAATATCATTTTTACCTATCTGAGCTTATTGAACACACTGACCGAACTGGATTCAGAGCCTAGATATTTTTTGGACACGAAATGTACATATGGATCATTTTGTTAATATGTTGTTTTTGTTCTTGTTCATTTGCTTGTTTGTATATTTCTTGTTAAAAAAAATCGCATTTCTCATTACCTACTGGACCAATTGCTTTCGAAATTGTGCACCTTCTGACGGTATTCTACTGGGGCAGTTGGCTTACCCGTTCTACATTGCTTTGGCCTAGGTGTCCATATATTTGAGCAACCCTCCATTGTTTTATGATATCGTGATCGTAGTCTCGGACATATTTCTGGCGACGGAACGTCCACAAAACTATGAATCTGAGTATTTTATGGCTATCCAAGTTTCCTGATGACTGATTCTTATTTTCTGTTTGCATTTTCTCATAATAGGGTGACAAAAAGCAAAAACGAAAAATTTCAAAAGGGAAAACTTCTTGTTCTACATTGTGGATGGAGAAACGGTGGTAAAGCCAAAGAGAGTGACGTGTTTTTTGTGCGAGATGACATGCCAGCATCAGTACCAGAATCAGCGGGCCTTGGATTATATGGAATCGCTGGGTATGTTTAAAATGTTTTATAAACTAAAATGGAGCATTGACTATCATAAAATTATAACAAACGAAAAAATTCGGATCCAAAAATTATTTCCGTCGGTCATCAGCTCCAAGGCCCATTCGCGCTATCCCTAGATGAGTACATTTCCTAAGAAACCTACATGACGTTGATACACCACTGCTGTTGACCCCACCCCTAACCCCATCACCTCATTTAATTGTTTATATATTTCACCCAACAACTTCTCCTGATATATTTGGCGTCATTTTACATTATTAGACTGACAGCCTGGATCGGATGGATACTCGTGTGTAAAATAAAAGAAGGGGAAACAATTTTTATCAGTGGCGCAGCCGGAGCAGTCGGAAATGTTGCAGCTCAGATTGGAAAAATTAAGGTAACTTCTATGACTTGCGAAAAATTAATATAGTTTTACAAAAACGCAAGTACGTCACTCAATCACATTTTATACAATTCAGGGATGCACAGTTGTTGGATCTTGCGGAACAGACGAAAAAGTAGAATTTTGTAAGAAAATTGGATATGACGCAGTGTTCAACTACAAAAAAGAGTCTGAAAGTTTGGATGCAGCTATCAAACGGGTTGCCCCGAAAGGAATAGATTGCTACTTTGACAACGTAGGTTTTACGGAGACTGTTTTACAGTACTTCGATGTTCAATAGCTAGTCATTAAAAACAAGCGAGAATTGTTTGGCAATGCAGTGCAATATTTCAGAGAAACGTGATAAAATTTGCTTCTACAACTATTCCTCCTCAATTCATGAATGTATTATATTTTACTAAGTTAACAAACAAACTTTTCAAACAATTTTTAGGTTGGAGGTTCTTTCTCAAGTACTATTTTACGTCACATGAATTCTGGTGGACGAGTGGGAGTATGTGGATCTATATCTGCTTACAACGAAACTACTCCTGTATTAGGTGAGTAGACTGTTCGCTACAAAAATACATTCTTTCCATAAAATGTCCTGGTTAAGATTTACAAAACGTATTGTTCAGCTCCCATTCTTCAACCTACCATCGTTAGAAATGAACTGATGTTGCAAGGATTCCATTTAAGATCTTATGTGAGTAAACATAAGGAAGCATATGAAGATCTGAAAAAATGGACGATTGAGGTAAGCTAATCATCATATTATGTAGGCTACTTATTGTTAATGGGTATAAATATTTTTTCAAAATCTTTTTTATCTCTTTTCTAGGGAAAGATGAAAAATTACGAAAAAGTTACAAACGGCTTCGAAAACGTTCCCGATGCATTTATTGATATGTTGCGAGGAGGAAACGTTGGCAAAGCGGTTGTCAGGCTGTAAATTTCAAATACCATACCACCATCATCATTAATAATTCGTTTATATCAATTTTGCAATAATACAATTTGATTCGTACGTCCGCAATGACCATATTTTTAATGATTCTGGATCTTATATTACACCGAGAAGAATCAATACATAGAAAACAGATGATACCTTGTTTTAGATTGTGACGTAACACATTGTGATGGCGTCATAATATCATGGGTAAACCGGGTTGTCGAGATTAATAACAATTTAAAAATATCATCATCAAATATGAGCCCTTCTAAGCAAATCGAAACTGAATCGGTGTTCATAAGGTATTATTGACTGCATATCGACTGCATTATGTTATATTACTGATCAATATGAATTCAGTTTATCGTCACATGTCTTGTTACAATATCAATGATTAAATTATTTGCACTGTGTAACAAAATCGTTTTTTGATTCCAGCTTTTTATCAAGATTTTCTGTAAGCCTTCGATATGTACATTGTAAAAACCACTTTTACCACGGAGAGGTTGGAAATGTGACAATTTTAAAAATAGCTTCGGGAACGATCTTGTCTGAACAATTTAACTATTTAGGGCTGTACGGGACTAGGGAGCCATTGCATTCAGGTGATCTAAGTGGATGAAATTTCAACGAAACTGAACTTCAAATTACGAAGTAGTAGTTTAGCAACCCTGGACGAAATTGAGAACACTTTACCACTTTTTATAACAGTAGCATTGGGAATAAATTTTCCGGTCACGCAGACCAGAGGCCACTAGCCGTCCTGCGAGTTCATCTGTCCGAATTATGGACCTTTCCCCGACCTTCGACCCTTGAAAATTTTTTCCTATACTTCCCCATTGCAAAATTCTCGGGGCTATTTTAGGAGTACTTTTGCGAGTTGGCGCCTGTAAAATGGAATATGTGTTTCAAACCATCACTATGATTCATCGCATTCAACAATCTGTTTTTTAAAAGTACAAGTGAAGAATTTTAGCCTAGTCTATCACAGCTATTTCTACACTAATTTTTTATTACTGCAATTGAATTAAAAACTCCTAAAAAGCCAGAGTGATCATTGAATTATCTGATTTATATTTAAGTTTCCGAAACACAACAGAAAACTAACGAATAGAGTTCAAAAAGGCGAAAATGAGATAATGTTTACGACCACGCTTGAAAATCTGTCTGAGTGAGAAAAGTGTCTGAGCGGATGCGAAAAGGAAGCTTTGTTACGTCACTTTTTGCATCTTGCTGATTGGCCAATGTCACGAAGTAAACAAGGAAGTCGATGCTCGTGGAAAGGTCCATTGGCCTGACAAATTACAAAGTTTGGTATTCGCACTCGGGGTTTTCCTGTATAGAAACAGGTTGTACTATATAGCAGTAGTAGTATAGGCCTCTACACTGACTCAAAATATAGACGATATAGAACAGCATTTTCATATTTATTCAGGGGAAAGAAAATCTTATATTGATATATATGTAATACGAGTCTGAACGTCCGCGAACCGGTCATCGTCAACCTTCCTGTCGGTCCGCTAAATATATTCCAATTGAAAAATGCAAGGCATTAATGGCCTTCCCATTTACACCTTCTGTTGATGCGTAATTCAAACTTGGCCAGAGAGTTCTACCGTAGTAGTATACATTTACGGTTCTACCCTCAACCCTCTATAGTTCTACGCCCATTTAAGCCCGGGACAGCAAATTTTTCATTGAATATTCTGCTTTTGAATTGCATACTTTTGTCGTAATTACATTCGTTTACATATGTTTCGTATTTTTGACATTCTGGGTTGATTTTGGAGGTTCACCGATCCGCAGGATTAGTTTGGATTTGTCCCATAACATAGGGGAATCCCCGTGTTTTCTACTTTCTGAAATCCACTGCAGACTGCAGGTGATGTAACAAAGAACTCAATTTCTTTTCGAAATTTGTAACTTACATGGGGTTTGTCATTTTATTTGTACCACTTCATATCTAACAGCCACTATCAGTGAATATGTGAGACACTCAGTTACTGGCACAACAGGGGACAGCTAAATTTAGCACATACGGTACCGGTACCATACTAGTCCATACTGTAACCATTTTTATGTTTAACAATACAATATTATGCATGTTTCTGTTGTTTAGTCGGTTAATTATGTGACGTAATAAAAAATATTTTTTCAGATGTGATGACATTGTTGACACAGAAAGTCATGATTCTCTTTCTAATAATTTGTATTATTATTGGTCCTGTTGCTCCATTGGAATCATGTGACAAGCGGCCTTTGATTATTGCACACAGAGGAAGTTGTGGTTTGTAAAAAGCTTTCAGTTTTGTTGTTATATTCAGTAATCTTCTTATATTACAGGATAATATTTACATGTAGGAAAGCTAAGATAGCATAACCATGTGGCTTAACACGGCCTTTCGTCCGGTTACCAGTCTATGTGTGGTATGGGATCAGTTATTTGTTTTAGATGCGTGAACGCGATGTTGGGAGAAGTCGTCACAGTTACATAAACCAACCTGCAATTAGGAGGAGTCTAGCAAGTCTCTCGCACATATTTATCTTCCCCTGCAGGGTAATTAAATAGTGCGATAATGCTTAGAATGATGTGTCATACCCCTCAATATTTTTAAATATTGTTTATTAAAAGGAATGCTTCCTGAACACACAAAAGAAGCTTATGAACTTGCTATTAAACAGGGAGCAGATGTTATCGAATGTGATGTTGCGGTCTCAAAAGTATGTAAAATGGTTCTTCGAAGAAAATTTATATTTCTTAGGCTATAGAATAAAATGCTCACTGACCAGTAGATCAAAGACACAGGAATTCAAAATATTTGTATTGTTTTTGATGAATGCATTTCAATTGAGCCAGCATGATGTCTCAGCTATGATAATAGTTGTATTAGCATATGAAAAACACCATGAATTGACATTTTATGAAAGTTGGATAATATTTTTGTATGGCAAATAGGTCTTATAATCTATATTTATATTTTATTCTTTTTATAGGATCTCAAACTTCTCTGCGCCCATGAATCATGGCTGAATTTAACAACCAATGTTCACTTCTGGCCAGAATTTCAAAACAGAAGTCGCACTTATTTTGTTCCGGCACTTGGTGTCAATATCACAGATTATTTCACAATTGATTTCACACTGGATGAACTATTATCTTTAAAAAGGGTAAACGAGAGGAAATAACGTTATTGATTATATTGGTGCTACTTACCTTAACTTTTTGAGAGTGCTTTTTTCATGATGCGTAGCTATAAAAACCAGCCTGGGCCCTTTATTTTTAGGTTCAAGTTTTTAAATTCAGAGATCAAGAAATGAATGGTAAATATGGAATGGCGTCACTCAATGATTATATATCAATTGCAAAAAATCCACACAACGCCAAAACAATTTCAATTTATGTGGAAACCAAAAATCCTGATTTTTTCAACAATTTTTTACAAGAACACAAAACAAATATGGAAGATATGCTTCTGGAAGCATTATCACATCATGGGTATAAAGATTCAACATCACCAGGCTTTATAGAATCATTTAGCTTAAAAAGTTTAGAATATATGTCGAAACGCACCACAATTCCACTTGTGTTCTTGACCAAAGTACCATTGTCTAATGGAGAAATGGAAGAAGTTGCAAACTATGCGTCTGTGATTTGCCCCGAAAAATCTTCAATAGTTGAAGTAAATCCGAAGACAAATTTTGTTGAAAATGTTACAGATTTCGTGAAGCGAGCTCGGCATTATGGATTGAAGGTGAGTCAATCAGGAGTTTTCTCGCATTCTAACTTGGTCCTATTAACATTTTATATAAATTATTCGCAGGTCCACACATATGCACTCCGTAATGAATATCAGTTTCTTGCTTATGATTATGGAGCTGATCCATATCGTGAATACGAGGTGTTCATTTCAATGGGGTTAGATGGCATGTTCACAGACTTCCCCTGGTCTCTATCTAACTACCTGGAAATGAGAGACATGAGTGCTACTACTCATCATAATGTTTTATCAAAGTTTGGAAGTTTATGATAAACATCCAAAAATTTTCTATGTGAGGTCGATGTTACTCAAGCTTCTCAAATGCCCTATAACAGCAATACTAACTAAGTTGGAAGTTGATTAAGCATGAAAGTTGAGTTATCATTGTATATGCCATTACTTTCAGGATCATTTTTATCTATATTTAATGTATGTTTAGACAAGTCATCATTAATTAGGACTTCTCTATTTTGGGAGAAGAATGCTCCCAATATTTTTATGGAGTAATTTGATATCTCTACTGTAAGTAAATAAGGTTCTTCCGCACAAGCAGCTGCCAGTGGTGGGCAAGGAATTTTTAAAATCTTTTTAACTGGCAATAAATACACATTCATGTATTAGGTTAGAGGAATCGAGATAGTTTTATTTTTTCTTCAATTTTAAGATGTAAAACATACAAATTATTCAAAATATGGCATCTATTATAGCGTGGCTTATGAAAAATCAATTCGAAAGATTTAAAAAAAAAAAAATTTGATGTGATTGCAGGTTGAGTCTTGGGCTCGATGCATGATTGGGATAATGTGTAGCATCTGATGCTGGAGAAAACTGCAAAAAAATCTCTAATTGAATTCAAAGAAGCGAAAGAACATTTAATGTTCTGTAGGCATAAAATTAGAGCCCATTTGTCTCGACTTTATTCATTCATTGCTAATGTCAGGCAGCAGTTTTTATAGATATTTCCGCAAGATCTTGTACAGAGATAGCTAACCAGTACAACACGTAAACATTGGACACCATTGCTGCTAGGTTGAGTAAAGTACTCATTCCATGAATCTTTCCAAACTTCTTCTTGAGATCCCTGTACATGAGATTCTGGTCAAGCTTGTTCTTGTCTGAAAAGATATGAATATGAGAGATCAGGATTAATACAAATTTATTCTATGCTTTCAATACTAATAATATATATATAGCAAACCATTTTCTTCTTTCTCCATTTTATGCTTCTTCATCATTATACTGGTTGAAACTGGTCCAAGCCAGAATTTATTCAATACGTTTGCCATAACAATCACAGCTACTGCACCGATCTATAAACAGGTACAGTATTGTGAGTAAACACTGCAGTTGTGTAGTTATTAGACAAAGAACTATCGAATATTTTTAAAAATATGAAAGATATGCTTCTAAATGCATTATCACTACATGAATATAAAGATTCAATCATCACCAAGCTTCATAGAATCATTTAGCTTGGAAAGTTTGAAATATATGTCAAAACGCACCACAATTCCACTCGTATTCTTGATCAAAGCACCATTGAATATTTAATCGACTTCATCGAATTTGAATTAGAGATAGAATGTACTAATTTCTTACTAATGTCTCTTGGTCATACGTCAGTTTGTTTAGGCTTCTGATTTGAAAAATTGTTACTCCCAGCATAATGACTCCAGTTAATAATCCAATAGTGAAGTAAATCGGAAACAATTTGCTTTGAATCTGTCCAAAAGTATGGAGGTGAAGGTTTCGGTACATCACAAGACCTGAAAATTGAACATTTAAGAGCTTGCCTAGAGGACTTTTGTTATAATTGGATAATAAAAGCTTATATGTAATATATCGCGTATTCTGTTAGACAATCATTAGCCATGTACACTTCAAATACCTAATGGTTCAACCATTAGTGTTGCCCTGCAAGAAATTCGCCATGTTTCGCAACACTATTACACACTGATGATTGCTTGATTGGCATTGATAAGTTTTAAAATTAAAAGCAGTAAGTCAACTGACCTGCAACAAATGACACCCAAAATGTCATGCCAAAGTTCATAGCAAAAGCTGCCATAAACAAAAGCCCTTGCAGGAAATGGTTGCCAAAAACAATATCAATGCTTCTTGTGGATGTGTTTTCTCCAGAATGCAACACTCCCTTCAGAAAATATGGTGATATAACCATTGCCAGCGACAAAACAATAACAAACCATATTCTTGCAAATCTAAAAATGAAGAAATTATTGAATACAACAGAAAAAATTAAAATATTGTGCTTTAAAAAAACGGAAATAACAGGGTACAGGAATAATGCTGCCATACCACAAATAAAGAAATACGGTAGTTATGCAACACACTCACCGCCTGAATAAACCATCAGAATCCGCGAATCCCATTTCGACTTTTCTTGAACGCAAAAATCCAGGCAGTCTCAATATATATAATGGATGCACTGATCAGCTAAAGCAGCCAAACTCAAACTGTGTCGTGTAACTTTCGTGCACTTGGTCACGTAGCTCGAGATCTGATCAAGTCTGCAAACATTGGCATGGGGAATCCCCGTGGGGTTGATCGTGTTACAAGAGTCGGCAACGCGTGGGCCAGTTCCAGATAGGATTGGTTTTGAATATCCATAATTTTTACTATTCGGATAACAGATATGTCCGCATATTAACAGGATAGTTACTTCTAATTGTTAGAGAATCGTGAAAGAATTGATCAAAAATTACGACACAGTTTCATTGTAAATATATTCACATACACTGTTCCTTCAATAGACTGCGCAAAAATTAAAAGCCACACTCGGCCAAAAAGCAACAAAATCACTTTTCCCACAGTGTGTACCTAAGTTATATTTCTGTGAAAGCACGATGCACCAGATAAGAAGCAAAAACCAAAATGCGCCAGAATGCAAACAAATTTTAAAAGTAGGATAGGATTGAGGCCATCCACCACCGAAAAGGGCCGATGATACATAGCATTCGTGGCGTTGATCGTGCAGTATTGGCGTTGTGCGTCGCAAAACAGAATTGTATTAAACATAACTAAAATATGATTGAATATTTTACAACGATCAGTAGAGGTTGCGCGAGACTAACTCCCAATCCTTTCTCTATGCCTTTGCGCTAGTGGATCCGTATGCATGTAATGCAAAGATGCTGTAGCAGGAATAAAACACCATAATATGCAATTCAAGAGTCCTACTGCACACTAACACAAATATATTTCTGTAACGTTTCGTCTGACCAAAATCAGACTTCCTCAGACAAGCAGTTTACAACAATGACAAGAAAAGAGCAATCCTTTGGATTAGGTTAATTCCTTTGGATTTTGGTCAGACGAAACGTTACAGAAATATATTTGTGTTGGTGTGCAGCAGGACTCTTGAATTGAATATTTACATATTGTTTTTTTTATAAATGTTTTATTGTTTCTTAATTTAAATACTGTGTGTAGTATATGAATCAATATATTCCTTTTACCTTTCTACCGCGTTTCCCCGAAAATAAGACCTAGCCTGTATTATAAAAATTATTTTAATATACGCCCTGTTAGTCGTTGACCCTCCCCTTAAAATAAGATCTGGTCCAGTGGTTCTCAACTTTTTATGGCTCGTGGCCTCTTCCGGCACCTTTTTGCACAAACTAAACGTGTTGGATCGCAATATGTTTTTACAACCTTTTATGAAATGCAAAAGCAAACCACGAACAAGAAAGTAAAAGCTTATTAGTATAGACTAGAGATGTACCGATGTATCGGTATCGGGTATCGGCAATATCGGCCATTTTTTCGGTATCGGCCATGTATCGGTATCGGTTAGATTAAGGCCGATATTTCCGATATATTCAACTTTTTGATATGGTCCAGAATGTTTTAAAAGATAAGTTGGAATACTACTTTTCAAAAATATTTTTTGTCTGGAGAGATCGTGAGCTAGGAGCCATACATGTCCCCACCCCGCGAGGGAATAGGATTCGCCTGTTTTTAGCTATTTATCAGCCAAACTAGCTCAATAAATTTGGCTATTTTCGCTGTCACATTTTTACATTGACATTTTTAATATTACATAGTAATTATGAAGAAATATCTCAACACAGCACATAATAAAAAGCAATTAGGCGCCCAGTTTTAAATTATACAGTGGAATTGGAGTTCTTATTAAAGGCACGTGGACTATTGGCACGGCCATAAATTCTGACTGTTTGTCGTCAAGTACGACTGTCATTTAGCCCATCGACATCGATAAACTGAATTCCGACACAATTATCAGTCTACGCAGGTATTAATTTTAATTTTGTTTAACTACACAATTTCTTTATAGATATTTTGACATGACCGCCTAGACTAGATTGTCTCAAAATATATGATAGCAATAGTAAAATATTATTAAACATCTTCGAAGGTTATAGGTAGGCCTTCTTCTTGTCGGTGCTGATTGATATTCTTTCATGGTTGCTTTGTTTTATTGCGGAGACGATTACGATTACCACAAAATGAAATATTTGTAAAATGGTCTAATTTGAACGTAGAACGGTGGCGCTAGAATTTGTGGGCGATATTCGATATACTTTTAAACACGAATTACGATATTCGAAGGTCGCGATATTAACAATAAATTCGAATTGGACATCCCGGCTGATGATTTTTCTAATTGAACACCGAGATTACTAGCGTCACATTTTGTTTTGATGGTAACAAGATCAGAAAAACCAGATTCCCACACATAAGTTGCGGCTAATTGAACTACCAGTGAAGCAGCTTTCTTGCTAGGTAGTGGGTAAGAATAAGATATGCCACTCCATAGCTGCATTCAAGAGCGGGCTTTTCCTTCGACAGAAACCCGAACTTGGTCAATGTTGCTTTCTTGTCAATCTAACTCGCTTGGCAGCCAAGAAACCGATGTCAACATCTTTCACCGGAGGATGATTATTGTCACTGTGGTTTTGTAGTTTAGATGGACGTAACGATTCACTACTCATTGCATACGAGCAATGCAGGCATTGAACACATTCTCTGTCATCTCGATTCACTTTGGTAAAGCCAACGTCACTGTCGTTCCATTTTCGTATTTTAGGCGTTAGAAATTTACAAATGGGTTTTTGCGTCTATAACACGGTAGCGAAGGCTATCGCGCAGTCTAGTGAACCTTCCCTCAGGGTAAACAGCCCAGAGACAGCCCACCTGCAAACTATTTTGATTGGTAGATTCCAAATTCCATTATCCCTCTTAAGGGGCCACCGGCCCCCAGTTGAGAACCACTGATCTATCTTTGGAGTCGCATGAAAAAAAGTTTTGGAACCGCTGCGCTAAGCCGTCTCGACATTTTCACAGTTTTCTTCGGCTACAGAAGTGTGCACCACTTTAATGGATCGTTACTTTTTTGTCTTAATCCTGTTAAATATCAACAAGAAGAAAAGAAATACTAACAACAAAATACTAATAGCATAATAACAAAGCGATCCATATGTGCATTTCGTGTCCTATAAGTTTCTTTGTATAGCCATAGCCGTCACGACATATACTCTGATACTAGGGTAGGCTCACTAGCGCTGGACGCCGAGAACATCGTTTAGTTTGTAACCCGTGAAAATGTTCTTGGTTAAGGTGGAAAAAGTGTTTTAGGTCAGATATTGACCAAAAGTTTATTTTGCTTACTGTTACAATATAAAATTACATCAAATTTCATGTGTAAGATTTCGTATTCTCTCGTCCAGTCAAAGTTCTTGAATATTTAGCAATTTTTTTCTATCATCCTTTCCATTGGGTTTCAAGTGTTCAGAGCCGATAGCGGTATCTGGGTATTGATGGCCACTTGGTCAATTCTCTCCCAATGTACCGTATTTATTCGTATAAGTTCTGGTGTAAACTCTCTTAAATTCAGTGAAATTTTAATGTATTTGTATACGCTTTGAAAAAGTCATGATCACGCGAATCCCGTGATTTGCTGATTTTATTACCGTACTGTTTGTGACGTAATCTGGTGGAAGAGTAAATTGGATATTTATTTTTACCCGTAATCTGACATGGTAATCCTCTGGCTACGGCCACTGGAGTCAGGGAGTATACCGGTAGGCCTACCCGTTACTGGTCACGTACTGTAGTACCGTGTAATACCGATAGTTGTTGCAGTCTTGGTTATTCAGTTATTTCTGTATCTAGAAAAGTGACAATGGTATGGTAACCTTGCATGCAGATGCAGCCATGCTCAATAAATAACTGAATAATGACTGAATGCACCTAAATGCATACCGGTAGGCCTTGTAATCTTTTATTATCGTACAGTACAGCCTTAAAAAGTTCCTTAACCACAGACCCAGTACTGCAGTAACTCCTTGTCTTTAGCATGAGTGAGGGATACAGTTACCGCAGTATTACAATATTATCATCTTGCTTTTAAGCTGGACTATGCTACATCACTAACATCAGACTGACAGATTTGCAAATGCAGGAAGATGATACAATGTTAGATGTTTCAGCGGCTACGCCTGCATTTTGTTACAGTCACATGACCATGATTTATTCGATCCTGATCAGTTTTCCCTAAATACTGAAATACGCTCAATATCTTATTTTCTGGATTTAGATTTTCATATTACCCGCAATGTTTAGGTTATATATTTCACATTTGTCGACGAAATAATTTTGAAATCAATATACTGTTCAAAATGTCGAAAGCAACCATTTCGGAGCAAAAATTTTATGATGATCCAAAGTATCGGAGTTATGCCTCACAAATAGAAAAAGCACTGAAGAATTTTGAGTATTCTACAGAATGGGCCGATCTCATTTCAGCCCTTGTGAAGCTGAACAAAGTATTACAAGCGAACACTTCATTTGAACTCCTACCAAAAAGAATAACAATCGGAAAAAGGCTATCACAATGTTTACATCCTGCTTTGCCAGGAGGTGTTCATATCAAAGCACTTGACGTTTACGACACGATATTTAAGATTATCGGCAAAAAACGTCTAGAAATGGATTTACATATTTATGGGTCAGGAATATTCTCTCTTCTAGCAAATTCATCAATGCAGGTGCGACCTGTTTTGTTGAACGTTTACGAAACCCATCTTTTACCACTCGGTGAAAAATTACGTATAAGCATGGATGGCGTTTTGCTAGGCCTTTTGCCTGGTTTGGAAGAGGCATCGGAACATTTTGATCGGATAACTCTTCTTTTAGATAAAATATCCAAAGGAGTTGGTTTACAATATTTTTATAGCAGCATATGGAGATGTGTTTTGACTTCACCTTCTGCTTCAGTAGTGAGATTAGCAGCGATGCAATTGATCTTGAGGTTTGTTTTTTTATGTTTTATTAACTCAAAAATCACTCGAGATATTGATTACGTTTTTCACAGTATCATGAATAAGTTATGTGGATGAATGGGATAGTATTTGTGTTTGGATTTGATTGATTTTCCCCTAGAATCCCTCTTTGTCAATATTGATCATTGTGATTAATTATTCTCTCATGTGGTAGGCAATTGATTTTGTTTCGAATACATCTCATTTGAAATATTGTAGATAATATAATTTTGTAAGAATATTGTAATGGAAAGCATTGGTGTATTTTGCAAAAAAAAACTATGTATGAACCATTAATTCTGGAGTGAATTTGATTTTTAAAGCTTGCACCAATAATTCGCCTATAATTTCAAACCTTTTGTAAGTTGTAACCCAGAATCAAATCCTATCTACCTATAATTACCTGTTGTTTAAATCAGCTGTTCACACATGGGATTATGTGAAAGAATATTGTTCGGCTACACTCCCTAGTTTCATATTTTCAATGTCATTTTTCTTACAGGCAATTTGATAAAAAGAAGATGACAGATGACCAACTGTATTTGATTGGGTTAGACGTTGACATGATGGTTCATGCTGTTTGTGAGGCATTACAGGATGAGAACATTCTCACACAAAGAGCAACATTGGATGTCCTAGGTTTATGTTTTCCTTTGTCTTCTTTGCCCATCTCTAGATCAGACATGCAACAAATTCTTTCAGCTGCTTTGTATATATTATTGCGCCGTGATATGTCTCTGAACAGGAGGTTATATTCATGGATCCTCGGGACTGATGTTTCTAAAGCAATGTCTAAAAGTAGCAGCACAAGTTTGAAAAAATCAGTTGTAAAACATTTCGAAACGTATTCAAGAGATTTGTTAACTTCTGCTGTTTTAGATATGATAAATAAGCATGTGAATATTTTCGAAGGAAGTTGCTGTAATATTTCTTCTCAACCGCTTTACGGATCAGAAGTAAAACTTATCCGCATTGTTATAAGTATTTTAGATAAATCTGAAGTTGGACCTGTGATATTGAATGATATTTTAATTTCTATATTGCGTTTGATAGAGAGTGTTTCATCAAAGTATACTTCAATGCTTTCTCCAACTACCCCATGTAAGAGCTGTGCTCCAAAGCATGATGCGGAAGAAATCTGCTTACGAGCACAATCGGAATTCATTAAATCTGTAAACTTGTTTATAAATACATTCGAAACAGATTATATTTGGAATATTTTGGCTGAAAATTTAACCACAGCATGTGAAGTCACTGACAAGGCACGTCAATGTTCGAAAAATGATTTTGATTTAACGAAGAACTTCTTTACAATATCGGAAATTTGTGATGTGATTGGTACATTTTTGAACATTGTTTCTATGGAAGCATATGTAGAGATACAGACTGTATATCTGCCTGATCTTCTCAGTAAAATATTTGCTGATATGACAAAATATTGCGAAACTTTTGCTGAAATGGAATTATCTAGTTGCTTGAAACTAGCAATTCAAATCTTAAAACATATCCAGCCTCATCAGCAGAATTTAAAATCAGAGAACAATAACGATGACAAAAATGGAGTTAAAGCCTGTATAGAATCATTCAAACATTTTGTAGTTGAGTTTATCACATCAAAAATCATAAAAGAGAAGCAATCTTTAGAAGTTTTTGTTACTGATTTTCAAGCAACACCAGAAGGGCCTATTATCCCAACTGGTTATGAGGTGTTGTTGAAATATTCAAATACAAGAAGAGTTGGATGGGAACATGTAAAATACAAAACTCATGAAAATAATGATATTATGTTATCTGCATTTAAAGATTTATGTAAGTTGTTAATCGATTTGTGCTGTTTTCCTACATTTTCTTTACCTAAAATTGAAGAATTTGATACAGAAAACCTTGCAGAAAAATCAGATTATCTACCAAAATGGATTTTATGCTTGATTGCATGTAGTTGCTGCCAGGTGTTTGAAAGTGAATCAATTTTTCCACAGAATCAGTCTGATTTGGAGTATTTCAATTCTGTCCGAATGACAGCTTGTTCTACTGCGTTAGAATTAATGGCTGTCACTGCTTCTTACTTTGAAAAAAATTCCAATTTACAGCAAACTGAATCTGAACGTAGTGTTGTGTCTGTGGTTGTACCGCCACCACTTTCACTTTTTCAGTTTCAATGGATCTTTGAAGAAACAAATTTTTGTGAATGGATTTGCAAAATTTTGTGGTCAGAGTTAGAAGACTCGACAAATTCGCATAATAATTCTTCTGTTTATTGTTGGACTTGCTCTCGTGCTCTCATTTTATTACATCAGTTAAGCCCAGATGAAGCCGTCGAAAGAATTTTACTACAAGATATACTTTCCGTAATTCAAAGTACAAGGGTTATTGCAATTAAGAAATTTGCAAAATTATGGCATCATATACGAGATGCTCCGCACAGTTATGAAAGTAATAAAACCTTCAGTCGATGCCTTTTCGCTATCCTTGACCAGCTTGCAATCGAACGGTACGAACTTTTTCCAGATGCCACGTCTCTTGCGGAAAGTGGTGGTCAAGGCGTGGTCGCAACTACTGTGTCAACGTGGCTCAGGCATGCCCTTGAAGAAGGAGATCTTTGTCGGATTTTGGAACCTTATATCTTAATTTCATTGGATGGAAGAACTCATAGAAAATCATTGCAAAATGTTTTAGAATACAGAAATGAAAATCCTGATACTGATCAGATATTAAATTTTGAGGAGAATTTCAGTAAACAACTTTCGGAGCCATTTTGTCATAATTGTGCTGAGCTTCAGAGAGAATTGGCGAATGATTCATCATCATGGTCTAAATACCAAAACTTTTCTGTTGATTCTGTTTTGACTTTCGCGCTTTGTGAAGTTCATCAACAAATAGCGAAGGAACGGCATCGTTATGAACATTTAATAGGTCTTCTGACACTTTCTGACGAGGTGGAAAGTATAGAGAGACTGAAAAGTACATGCAATGAGGAGGATGTGCATACATGGGCAGCAGGTTTTGTAAAAATGGTCATTGCTCAAGGCATTACCATTTACAAAGAAGAATTGGAAAATTCCGACCAGCACTCGCTTCTCAATTCGAACAAAATTGAACAGAGTGACTCGTTGGATATGGGCGATAATAATGGAGTTGATAATTATTCTTCCGACAGCTCAGACAAAGCGACGGAAGCAATCGAATTAAACCAATCTTTTATGAACAATGGTAATCCTCTTTACAATCATATACTTGTTTATCAAGAACGCTTCGATGCAAATTGTGTTTTATACAGCCTGCAAGGAATCCTAAATCTTGCTTCTGCTCATCCTGGTGTTTTTATGTATGCTGCTTGTACAACATCATTAGCATCCAGTGAGGGTGCTTATTCAAATCTTGTCCAAGAGCTTTTAATTCGTCATGAAAGATCCATAGAGCAAGGTAGATGTTTTTACGAAACAACATCTCCAAGTTTAAAAGGAGCTATGAAGAATCGTATGCTCGTAGAAGTTTTAATATCCATTTGTCTTTATTATCTCAGGTCTGCATTTTACAATGATAAATTTCAAACAAGTTGTGAACAAAATCAAGAAATTCAATGTATTGCCGCTCGGATGTTAAAGTTCATTATTAGGGAACTGACTATCCTAGCTCAGCAAGATGATTCTGTAAACAAAGGGACAAAATTGTCATCTTCAACGAAGCAATTTTCTGCGTACATTATTTTAGTGCTACAACGACAGCAAGTTCAAAGCGTTGTTTTGACTTGTTTACTAACAGCTATTTTTGCTTTGAAAAATCAATATAAGTTATCAGATGATGATCAAAGCATCTCTACCATTTCGGAAACATTGGAGATGGAATCAAATTTAAGCGAAGATCAAAACTTGCGGTTCGACCACAACGATCGCTTTGTTTCTCGATATATTGGTGCTGATTCAAACCGCATTAAAGCGATTTTTTCTCAGTTTTTGCACATTATTTTTGAATTGGTTAGTTTAGAATACTTTGCTTTTTCAAAGGAAAGAAATATGCCTACAACACCACAAAAGCCAGAACAAAGCTCGAATCCTAGCATTGCATTAAAAAAGAAGCATATCCATTCCATGAAGCCTAAATTAAAACGCTCTCAAAGACTTTTCAGTCATTTGCTATCTGCGTCACATCGTTATGATTCAGATGCGCCTATTGCATCACAAAAAGTTTTTGTTTCCACAATATTGGAAATATATAGACTTGAAAAATACATGGAATTACATCAAGATTGCTCTATTGGACTACATTCTGTGTTGCCTTATCTTGGTGGTGCACTTTCACAAACAGTCGTACCAATTGTCCTGCAACAATGCCTGAATTTGGAAACAGTATCGAAACAAGTTTTAACAAAGTCATCGAATAATGTTCCGCCAAACTATCTACAGTCAACTATAAAGAGCATTATGATATTAACCCATTACTGCCTATTGACAGAATCTGGGAATAAAAATTCTGATTCTGGTAACAGTGATTCTCTACAATCTGATACAATTTCATTATCCTCAACAAAGACTAATCAGTCTGTAACAAGAGGGTCAAGCATTGGTTCTGGATTGTCAACTTTGCTCAGCGTGTTCAATTCCTCAAATTCAAATAAGACTTCTAATACGAATGAAACAGAGCGTTTTGATGGTCTTGTCATGGCAAAAGTGGCAATTTTAAACAATCTAGCTCGTATTGTTTCTTGCATGTGCGTTTTATGGAAGGATGTGGCTTCAGTCGAAGATGGTACATTGCTTCCCATTGAAGGTTCTAGAGCCGTGTCTTATAATATTTTACAATTGTTAGGTCCGCTGGCTATTCAATATGGAGAATATTTACTAGTTGCTTTTTCTCTTGTATGGCGTGACAGAGAATCCGAAATAAATTCTGGTGATCACAAAAATGGACGCTCTCTTGCATCCTTTTTGAAGCCAAGTAAAGATTTGAATAATATTATTGATTTTATGATGGCCATCAAGTTACTTTCAACAGAAAGGTTTTTTTCTTTAGTCAAACAAGTCATTAAAAGCCCGCCATCCACCACAAATGAGCACAAAAATATATCTTTGCAAGAAAGTATACTACAAATGCTTTTATCTTATATGAAGCGCCTTAAACCTGGTGCACTAATGGAAAATTGGTCAGGCTTTCATGGTATTTTACAAGAAGCTATTGCTTTAGGTTTCACACAAAATAATCCAGGTTTTCCTGCTTTGATTGCAAACCCTATTTCATCAAATTGCTATTTCCTGATGTTGTATCTTTTATCAGAATATGTAAAACGTTCTGCAGCCTTTTCAGAAAAGAAGGAACAAAAAGAACTCCAAGAAATTGTAACTAAATGTATTGAAGCATGTAATTCCATTGCTGGGTCCTCTCTAGAACAAGGTACTTGGATTAGAAGAAATGTGTCTGTATTACCCGGCCCTCAAGAACCAGAAGGGCATAGCAAGGTACACAAGAGAACAGAGTCACAATCATCATTAGATTTGACTGATGTAGCAGCAGAAGCTGCACCTGATCTACCGATACATGTGTCATCATCTGACACAATGGTAACATCTTTAGTTAATAAGCATTTGCTTGAAATTGATGAATCAAGGCCTGAATCAGCGAGAGAACGCCCTACTTCTTTACCACAAGTTTCAAAGCCTGGTTTCAACCCTGTCAATTTTAGAAACAGTGTTAAGGCATTGACTGTTCTATCTGAAGTCGTGGCAAATTTGCTTGATGTTATATATTCAAGTGAAGAAAAAGAAAAAGTTCTACCTTTACTGGTTTCTATCATGGCAAATGTTACTCCATATTTACGAAATCACGGAAAAAACAACGCACCCAGCTTTTGCTCTTGCATTTCATTTTTAGCCAGCATAAGTGGATTTCAATACACAAGAAGATCTTGGCGAAAAGATGTGATTGATCTTTTCTTAGATGCCCCTTTTTTTCACATGCCACAGGAATGCGCGGAAGGCTGGAAAACAATCATAGACAATTTGATGACTCATGACAAAACCACATTCAAGGAAGTTATGTCAAGGACAACTCTTTCAAAACCAGGTGCATCGACGCCAACTTTGAATATTTTCACTAATAAGGAACAAGAATTAGAATTGCGAGCTTTACATATTAAGCGACTTGCTTTCATCGTTTTCAGCAGCGAATTAGATCAGTATCAAAAACAGTTACCAGAGATTCAAGAACGCCTTGCTGAAAGTATACGCTTAAATAACGTTCCTGGAGTTCAGTGTCGTGTGTTTTTGTGTTTCCGAGTACTTCTTCTGCGAATATCTCCACATAGTTTAACCTCCCTCTGGCCGACGATGTTTACAGAAATGGTACATGCAATGCTGCAGCTTGAACAGGCTCTTCAACCATCCTTTCAAGAAGAAAACCATAAATTCAAGCAAAAACCCAGGTCGCCTCGCGGTTCCTCACCTTCGGAAAATCAAAAATCAGTAATGACTTGTTGGTTAGATATGTACTTATCAGCTTGTAAGCTTCTTGATCTAGCTTTGTGTTTACCAGTACATTACGTACCCCAGTTTCAATTATATAGATGGACATTTATAGGTGATGCTACGACAGACGGACCAGCGAATTCAGAACGAGAAGGTTACGTTCTTAACGGACCAATCAAAGATAAGGAAACTACAGAACCAGATGAAGGTTTTGTTCCACATTGTGTTAGAATACAACGGCTTTTTAGTGATCTCTATCCGTCGCGGAAAAATAAATTGCTTACTATAACTCCGGAAAAACCGTTATTGAATGTGACAAGATTAAAATCATTGGACCAACTTCAGTTGTTTTTCAACACCATAACTTCTTCAGCTTATATCTTGAAAATGCAAAAATCGGCATCAAGTTCCAAAAAGAGAACAGTTTCTTCCGATGTTCCAAAAACATTGCCAATGGTTGATAAATATTTAGAAAGAGATTTCGTTAGACCGTTATTGTAATTTTATGATCTATTATCCATGACCAATTCTGCACTTTTGTTCTTGTTTGAGATTTTATGTGGAACTGTAGAAACCTATGGAATTAAACTATTATATGTATTTAATTAACATTAACTTTTCTATATATATATATGGTTTATTTATTGAATGGTTGTGCAATTATATAGCGTTGCAATTGTTCCTCATATTTTTCTAAATTTGAAGCCCTAAGCTAAGAGTCTGTACATTACATATCAGCCATAACAACAAAATCATTTTAGAAACTGAAGATTCAATTTATTATTGAGTTCTGGACAAAATCTCAATTGCTTGTGTATTCACAGACAGTTGGGCATGAATAGCATTAGTGTTTTTCATGGCAATGTACCAAGTAAATAATTGAATAATTTGACTTATTATCATTTCATTGTCTGGAATTAATTGGAGCAACCAATATTTGTATGGAATCCTATTTTCTCATAGCCATTGCTAAATGGAAAAAGAGAGTGCTTGAAACATCTGAACTGATTTTTTGTGCAGAAATATGTCAAGATCAATAGTTTTTGTTTCAAATAAAATCATCTATACTGAATGAATTGATAATTCAATATCTAATTCAACAACCATTGTTGCACATTTTGACTAAGTTGTTTAACTCTGCCTCTAAATTGATTTGAAGCCAACGAATTCTTCTATTCAGTTTGAAGTTCACATTTACTCAGGAATCCAGCTTTGCCAAACTCAGTCGTAAAGTATGTTCCATCCAACATAAGGTCCAAGTTGTTTTATTTATTATTATGTTATATTGTATCAAATTGAAATTTTGTAAATATCTTTATCATACACAGATTTTTAGGTATAAAATATTGATGAGGTTCTGTGTGTGTCTGATATTAGAAACCTGCATGTCTGTGATGCAATTCTTTCCAGCTGTTAAACTGCTTAATTATCAACTAACTAATAGATCAGATTTTCATCATTCATTTTGAGCTTAACTCTTTCAAATAAAACAAGTAAAATCAGCATATCAGTTCGGTATTCGATGTAAAAGGGGGACAAAGAACGAAGCACTACGGTGTTTCTTGAAAAGGAGCTCTGCAAAATTGATCCGGTTTTCAAAACATTTGTAATTGAATGATTATAAATGAAATATAATTTTTTGTATTTATAGTATGTTAAAATTATTCAAAAATGAAATTAACTGTTAAAATTAATTAAAACTTCAGATCATTTTTACCCAGTATCATAAGAAAAAGATTTCAATTTTTATCGTTCTAATACAACTGTTTCTGGATATAGTACATTTACCATATTAAAATTTCGTACGATTAGATTCATTGATGGGCTTTGTTGAAAGTATAGCATGAGATGTGTATTGTAATGACATTGGTAATTGTCCATTCATCGTGTTGTAGGCATAACTGAAGCCATTGGTTGGTGCGATGGAACATTTATTTCAATTAACATCGGAATGTGGGTAGATTTTTGTGTTTTCAGTGCTACCTTTCCTTCTGGTTTATGATGCTATTCATATAATTAATGAGTTGTTAACATTAAATACATTTTCATAACTCTTGTGCCTATTTTACATCAAGGGGAATAGGTAGCAACCAATTGAACAAAAACTGGCATGGATCAGATAAGGCCATCTGACAAATCGTTTTTGGACGCAATATGGACCTAATCATGTATATGCATGGCTAAATTGTTGGAATCAATCGAAATTACTTGATTCGAGATCCTACCAGATAACTTGCACTAACGGGACGCAATAAGGACCTAATTATGTATGCATGACATTGCTAAATTATTGTTAGGAATAATATTAGCGAATCAATCGAAATTGCTTGATTCAAAATCCTTCCAGATAAGTCGCACTAAAGGTGGTGGCACAGTAGAATATTTCGATGTGCACCATCCCCGAAGTTTACAATCACATATAAGATTTGAATCCATAACCTGAAAACACTGTCCTTTTTGCAAGAATAAACACCAAAGTTTCGTTTTTATATTGTTATTATTCCTTGTATAATAATTCAGTGAGCAGGTAACACAAAATTCGTGGCAGCGGAATGAACTGAACAATCCTACAATGCAAAATTAGCTGAGTTAAGAGCATATCATTTTATAGTATCTCACACATACTTGGACAGTTCCATTCCGTTGCCACAATCTGGAACATTTTATCATGGTTAATGAGAAAAGAGTTTATGAAATGGTACTACATGAGGAATTGTTGAAGTTACAAGTGCTGATTACAGCATAATATTCACTCAAAGAAAGGCATGCAAGTAAAATATGGCTCACTCTACTAAACTGTTGCTGTTGCAAGCTTGGGTTATATCTATGCACTCACTCAGAAGTGAAGAAACTCATGAGCAATTCCTTGCGGTGGTCAGATTAGATATAGAAATGTTACAATTCTATTAACGTTTATATAAAAAATCGATATGAATGCTACTAGTAATGAGTATTGTTTATCTGAAATATTTGCAACATTACGTATTTCGCCATCCGTAGTGAAAAAGTAAGGGGGGTCCCAACAGGATTATTCATTGGAATACTACTATGAGAATTTCTACATAGAATGGGCAGGAATTCGTAGGATTTACACAAGAAATAGAATATTGAGATACATTCCTGAATAGTTACCACTGCAGAATTTTTAAGGATTTTTATATGGAGCTATTCATTAGAATGTATTTGAAATACCGTAGATAATCATTTATCTAATAATAAACCAATTTGAGAACAGCCTTTTCAAACCTTACTCTAAGTATGGGTAATGAGTGTCCCATTTATACATACCATTGGCAGTTTATTCATTAGGATGACTAATAACTGAGCGGCTTTTGCAAGATTATTAATAATATAAAAAGTACTATATGGTAAATTATGAGGGCGACTTGCTAACAGTAATCCTGGTAAATATATACATATACACATAATGTAAATAGATTTTTTTGGGGACGAGTCCAATCTTGGAGAAATTACTGTGCAATGAAATGATTTTACTGCATATTGTATACAGTTGTTTTAGTTTCTGGGTTTGTTGCCAACGGTAAATGTGGAATAAACAATACAAATAATTAAATTAGTATACTTATAAACATAACAAATGTAAAACTGAAGCCACATTTCTCTACAAATCTTCAATTATTTCTAGCCCTATTGCATTATATCACAAACCAATAAGTACCAAGCTCACTTTTAATATTCAAAATCAGAGACAAAACTTTTTGCAGTTGCAAATTCATTCAAGTTTTTCTGACACAACAGATTGTCAACTTAGCAAATATGGTAATCAGTTTATGTCTGGCAAAGTTAATGCCTAGGATACATCATGATTAATTAAAATAAATACAAGGAACTTATAATTAATTAGTCAGGAAAGCCACACATGGAAATGAATGTCAGAAATTCAAAAACAAATGAGATACATGTAGAACATAAACAATACATCAGTAATGAGGCACCCTTGTGGGCATCCAAGCTAATAGCACGACAACACATCAGTAATGGGGTGACATTGTGGGCATCCAAACTAATATGCAAATGTAGAGATCTGCATGCTATATAACCGTTATTCTGAAAAATGATGGGGTAAAATCGGTCATCTTTTTGTTGTTGGAGTGTGCCATTGCGACTCAATGTCTATATACATCCGATTATATATAACATGCAAAAAAAGGAGGCAAAATTGTTCTCAATGCTTAGACACAGACCATAGTACCGATGATGATATGTTATTTACAATTTTGCTAACTTTTACTCAATTGCTTCGACTTATAATAACAGTAACAAAGTCTTCTTCAAATGTATAATTCTGGACCTCATAAAAATTCATAAATAACTTTACAATTCCGTGAATTCAACCCTTAACAGTTCATATCGAATAAATTTTAGTATAAGAAGATATTTAATCGATATTCTGTTTGCAATAAAATACCAAATATTTTAAAAGTATCAATATGCCTGATCTTTTATCACAAAAAATCCGTCATCGGTCTAATTTCAAAATTGATAATAAATGCATTTTGACATATTCATTGATTGGCTGCAAAAGACTCATTATTATTCTGTACTATATATTGTAGAAAAAAAAAACACTGGTTATATTTCCGCAGAAAGGTACTATATATATATACTCTGAACCCTAACTCAAAAAATTGTTCAATTGCGATGGACGATAAAGAATGTTATAAATTGGAAATTGATTATATTTTTGCTACATACTGCAAATCAGCAGCTAAAGGCAGTTTCTGATCCATATATATGTATAAACGTTCCAAGATTTAACACACAGTCCACTTGTTTTTGATTAGCTATTCATTAATCAATAGCCTACCTAACATTTTGCTCTTTTTTTTGCTGTGGCAGGTAGCCTTAACATGAATTACAGTTATGAAAACTTCGTTGAAGTTGAATCAAATGGTAAATTGATGTACATTCCACATGCTTTGATGAAATTGTATGTTTTCGGTACAACCCACTATGTGGATGCGGCTGATGAAGCAGTAAACAATATATGTGATAATCAAAGTGAAAAATTCTTATATGATATTGATAATCAATCTTTACATTGCTAAGTCGTAGTAGAAAAGATATTCTATTTTGGTTAAATTGCAGCATGGCTTTTTGTATCCAGCATTGTATTATCATCGGTAATCTCACTCTTCCTCTTCTTCTGGTATAATTCCAGCTTTTTTCAACTGCTCTTCTAATTTGTTGACCCGTTTGTTCAGTTTACGTACAGTTGCTTTGACTTTCTTCATGTCCTCAAGCAATTCTGGGAAGTCAATTCCCTGTAGAGTTGAATAAAAATAGATTCTTCAATAAAGTATTTACTAACACGCAATCCTACACTATAATGCCTTATAGTCTCACTAGCTCTGAGTGAGTGTATGTAACCTTACTTCAAACAAATTTCTATGAACAAAACAAAACACCTTCACAGGCGTGTAACGTCTACTACATAGGATAGGATTTACATATTTATCCCGGGGAGAGGAAAGCCGATAAGACGGCTTATCCATGTGGCGAACCACGTCCTCTCGTCCGGTTACCATTCCAAGTCGGGTGTGGGATTAGTTATATTGTTTGTTTTCGGAAGCATGGACTTGGTGGTGGAGGAAGCCGTAACCGACCAGCGGTTACGTGAACCACCCAACGACGGCGAGGAGTCCAGCAATCCTCTCGCACATAACCATCCCTGCATGGGATTCGAACCTGCGAACCCACGCAGAGTAATTCGAGGTGCGGTGGTGAGCGTATTCCTAACGCTCAGCCCGTTGAGCCACACCGCCGCGCCAAGGAAGATGAAGGCCCTGTTGTGTTAAACAAGCTACTTTGAGTAAAATTCATACGGAAAATAATCCAAATATCTAATCTTTATCAACAGATAAGTAGACAAGGGTGTCATACCCTTAAAATTTTATTGAGTTCATCCCTGGTTTATTGTTACCCAGCTTAGGCAATAAACTCTTGCATATTATAACAAACTAATATCACAGACCTCGGGAATTCCATTATTCGCCTGTTGTTGATGATGATAGCTTGGAGCATTTCTTGTTTTCTCTGTATTTTCCCCAGCACCACCTGCATCTCTTTTCGGTAGCGCTTTTCTCATTGGTCTTACATCTTTTTTTTGAGTTTGACATTGGCTGCCGTCGTACACTGTATATTTTGATAAAATTGTATTAGTCAATCTGAAACTTGTTTTGAAAGCTATTTTGCTTTTCATACAACCAATCCAACTATCTAACACTCAAAATAGTAATCACATTTAAAACAATATTGTTTATCAGAATGGAGGAGTGTTCGACTACACTAACCTGTTTGAAAATCGTGTTTCAATGGACTGTGGTTTTTTCCATTAACCCATTCCTGGGAAGACATTGCCGGCTCACTAGAGCTACATTCTGGATATATATCCTTCTGGAATGTTTCCGACTGCAATGCAAGGAAAGACTCCGGTAATTCGAACAGTATTTTCATTATAGTATTTGACGCAATGTCCCTACTCATTAATTACCATCTCATTGATTTATTAGCAGGGCTTAGCATTAGGAAAGCATGTCAAATTTTTTTAGATTTATCAAGGTGAAGTTGTAAATATGAACAACTCCATAGTCGAAAATTCAAATTTCAGTGGTGGTAAGAGTTCTAAGTTTCTGACTGAAACTAAAACTAGTGAAGCTTTAAGTCGACTAAGCACTCTTAACAGACAAGTATATGCTGTGGCAAAAATTTGGTTTTCTCATAGCTGGAAGATTGAGCCAAAATTCAAATCATAGTCTGTTGTACTCCCCATGAACTTGACTTTAAGACAGACTCAAAAGCCGACTGAAAATATAATTCCATCATAGCTATATTTACTCAAAATTTTATTCTTACTTTTCTTGGTACAATGAAGCTGATCGGCTCACATTTATCCGCATGCAATTTGTAGAACCTGTGAAGCATAAGGAACATATAATGAAAATTTCTGTCTACAAAGATTAAATTTCTAAGAAGTTTGAGACTTAAAAATGGAATAATGAAAGTTCAAAAATGAAATTTAAAACATCTAAAATGTTGTTTATTTGGTGAAAAAATGCTTTTCACCAGTAATTCCAATATTTGCAAAAAAAATAGTCTGTATATTTTATGCTTCTGTGGCAGGTTAAAAAATGTGATTTAATAATACCAAGTGCGGTACGGTAAATAAAATTAGTTTTGCACCCTGGTAATACGGCTAAGTAATGTTTTCCACTAGACTCAAAAGAACACTTTTTAATTCAGCGATGGGCAAAATAGTTGGCTGGCGAACAACTGGAAAATTTATTAAATTGTGAATGATACAAAGAATGACAATAATACGCGAGTTTCATGTTTCCTTTTTCTATCAATAAGCTGATCGATTAAGCGTCTCACGATATGTTAGTTCAATTATAAATCCAGCCGTGGCCTCACGGTTTATTAAACTGTAACTTTGTGATGTCATGTCTGTTTCCTTATATGGTAGCGTTGTGTAGATTTCAAAATAGATGCCACTTCCTTTGTTAAAGTTAATGAAATTGTTACAGCAATATAAACTTGATTTTAATAATAAAATATTCAGATCTTTATATATAACATGTATGGTCCACTGATGAAGGTGCTCATTTTATCTACGACTTATACTTGGTGAAATAAAGTCATATAAGGGAAATTCCTTTAGCGTCTTCTACAATATACCTGCAAGAGTATCTCATCAAAAAACATAACAATTATAATTTCGGAATTCTAAAAATCTGAAATGCCTTTGTAATAGTAAATCAAACTACAATAGAATAATGTAATTACACTGAAGTATTAGGAAACGAAAACCTTAAAATATGAATCAAATTATGTTGAATCAGAAATAGAATTTACCATATTAGTGACACAATTTTAAACAACGATGATATAATATTTTAATAATCATCAGCAATTATGTAAAAAGCTATTTTACCTTATTAATAACCTTTTTTTTAAAGGTTATAGATTAATGATTTTACTGTTACTAACTAACTTCAATTCAGAATAAATATGATATGCTATACAGAAAAATTACGATGACTAACTGACTAAATTTTTTATAATTGAAAAAATTATACTTTTACCTTGCGATTTCATTTAATTTTGGATCAACAGCATATTTCGGAATAAAACTCCCTCCCTTTTGACTACTGGTAGCAGGATGGGCAGCCAAGAAATAGAATTTTTTTTCGTTTTCAATTTCATAATATTTAACAACAGATTCGCCCTGAAAAAAAAAAATTGAAATACAATGGTATTTAAAATAAAATATTCAAAATGAATGAATTTGTATTATTTTTTAAAAATTCATTCGTTATCTCAGTGTTGTCAATTTTCAGATATATTTAAATTTTGCTCCAATGCTGAGTTCAGAAAACTCTCAATCAATATAGTGTAGCTGTTTCAAAATTGTTCGAGCATGGGCATGGCATGACTGCTGGGCCACATAAACATTTTCGTGTGAGCCATGAACATATTAAAGAATTGCTGGAATTATTGATAAATAGGTATAATTTGATTGAAGTAGCAATGAATTATTTTTTGAAAACTAAGTAGTCTTTTTAATTCAGGTAAAAAAAGTGGAAATGCCTATTTTTGCGGAAAGAATTTTTTGTTTTTCTTTTAGTTTTTCCCTTGCATGAGAAAGTTGATGGGATACAGGATTTTTGTGCAACAGAAGTGGGCCACGCAAGAAAAGAGGTTGAGAACCACTATCGGTTCTCTTTTTATTTATGAGTGCTCGTAACTATGGTTCAGGGAAATCGTTTAAAAAAAAATATTTCACAAGCGTTTTTCAAAAAGTAGGACATTAAAATGTTGAAAATAACAAGAAAAATTCTAGAACACTTGATAAATTTATTTTGTATGTCTAAGAAAAAAACAATGTTTTACCTTTGCATATGTGAACAAGACATTCAGTTCCAAATCTAAATATGGAACAGGATTAGCACTCCCACTCCCAATGCTGATTTCATCAACCTCTTTCGTAATATCTTTCTGAAATTAATTTAAATAAAAACAGTAAAATACAAATCTGGCTCTGCATAGTTGAAAATTACTATCGCAACTGTAATTATTATGTTGTATTTATGTATTCAATATATGATAAATTTTACAAAATTCGGAACAAGTAATTTACTATACAGAATATATTTTTGAATATAATTTTCTGAAATGGAATATCTAAAATAATCTATACACAGAAAGTATTGTGATTTCGTAGATAAGCAGAATAGTAATAAAGTAAAAAATGTAGTAGAGCAGTAGTAGAATCATGTAAAAATAAATATATTTTGTGTATTGTGTCGACAATATTAAAATCGACAATTTTTGAATAAAAATGTTCAAAATGATTCCTTTTCCTAGGAGTATACTACTATTAATATTATGAAAAACATTCTACATTATCCATAAGACGCACATACCTTGTCCCACAAGACAATCGACCTATTAGCATTTTTGTCTACTCCCACAGTAATAATGGCACCGCCTTTCATGAACACAACTTTAGTCGGTTTGGTTCCAAGATGGCATTGTTCGTTTGTCTAGTGAAGAAACAGAATGTGAGTGATACTCATCAGTAGGAAAGCCAAAATTTAATCAAGATTGTTAGTTTATATGGGTATCGCTAACTATCGATAAAGTGTTAATAATCTTTCAATTCATTGTTGATACCAAATAAATAATTTGGACTGCGCGATGGCCTAGCGGGTAAAGCATTGAACTTGACTGTCATCGCAGATTACACATCTCAGGTTCAAATCCAGCTCACTCAGATTGTAATAAATTGAGCAGGCAATGCCGAATCGTAAAGATTCCTTCCAAAAAATTAAAAGTAACTCCTCACATATCGTGAGATATCAGTGGGCGTTGTATAGTGCCTGGTTTGGGGAGGAATGTGTGATAAGTGTCTTATAATATTTTCAGTCCACATGATTATACTAAATTTGTGAGCTTAAATAATTCCTGCTACTTATCTACCTGTAACACTTCCCCAGTTCTTGGGTTGACGATTTGAAGAGCCATTTTCCTATCTATTTTAGTTGTTATGGCGATAAGACTTCCGTCGTAGTTCCAAGCCATGTTAGTTGGATTCTCACCAACAGGTATATCAATAAAGGAGTCCATGGAATCACAGTCAGGTCCAATGTCCAATATACTGATGAAACTATCGAAACCTAATAAAGCACAAATAATAAGTCTGTTTATGATATATGCCAAACAAATGGAAGCGCAAATCATCGAAAATTTTTAAAGTAGTGTAGTAGATATAGCACTTATGCAGAGATGTGTTCAGAAGGGTATAGATTTTTAAAATTGAGTCATCAAACAGCTTGAGGGATGCAAAATAAACATGCCGATGGTCCACATGTAAAATGATCAGAACGTGATGTTGGCCTCTTGACACACAACAAGACTATATCCTCAACTCAGTTTGAAAGTTACCGTATATACTAAAATCAGAAAATATTGATAATGTCAAAATTTCATCATTTGTTCAAAATTAAGCATTATCATGTCCTAATGGCGGATTATATAAAGCCTTGCTCTGAGTGAAAAAATGTCATTTTCTTTCGATTAATATGTGAATTAGCTATAGGCAAATGTTGTTAAGGCTTCAAAAGGCTTAGTTAAACATTAATAACTTTCGAAGCTGGTGATTATTTGATATAGAACAAAGTGTATAGTTTATTCTGTAAACAACACATTTCGAAGGGCAGTTAAAAGGGAAATGGCGACTGGGACCATACCACAATCTCTACAGCTAACATGTTTTTAATATCTACGAAGTACGCTTGGTACTACTAGTCTCTTGAAGCACATAGGCCATTTTATGTACAACCAGTTACAATGACCAATAATTAATAAACAAAAGCAAGGATACATACCTCCAACAGCCAATATATATTCAGCAGTTGGATGCCATTGAATAAAAGTAACCTTTTTAGTTTGCTTTGAGAAATGATACGATGGTTCGGACATCACATCCTCAAGTCCATCTTCAGGTATTGTCCAAATCTAAATATATAATAAAAACATGTGAATAATTTTTTGTTTAAAATTATTAAACGAAGCATATAGCAAAGTAATGAATTTTGAGAAAATAGGCAATTTTATTTCTATAGACTAAATAATAATTTAGTTGAGATGAATCAATTCTATATGAAGGGAATTAATTTCCGGATAAAAAGTCAATTTTTTGTCCTGATTTTCTGGGGTCGCATTATGGTCCGGCTACGCTTATTATTACCTTTGTACCAGAAAAGAGGGACAATAACGTGCCATTTCCATCAGTTTTTGTAAATCCGCGCTCTCACACTGTATCTCTACTGTGATTATTATTTTTGATAGTGCAATTAAGATAAAAATACAGAGCGCATTGGTGCTTATTAACAGACAAAAAGAGAAAAAAGGTAACACAATATTTCTGCCTTCCCTTTTAATGATCGGTAACAATTGGCTCTGCTTATTAGCCAGAAAATGCGGTATGAAGTTAAATATTTTCTATCTAATTTTGCTGTTCAATACTCAACTTTTAATTTATCATCATCTTTAAACTAAATAAAATACTTATAGTTATAATATGAAACCTATACAGATGAAATACATTACATTAACATGTCCTGATTCTTCACAGCTAGCAAGTACATTATCATGGAATGGTGACCATGCCACGTCCAAAACCTTGTTTTTACAATCAATGTAATGCATGTTGTTTTCTTCATGACGACCAGTCTTGAAAAATATAAATAACGATAAATTTTGGCATATAAGATGAATTAGCCTATACATGACTGTTTGTAAAAAATTGATTCGACAGAATTCATGTTTATACCAGGTGAGGGGGGGGTGATAGGATGGCTAAATAGCACAACAAATCATTTCCCTTTCATCCTTATACCAGTACAGGTAGAGCATAGGATAAACATCTAACTAATAAATATCATCAGACCATTTTAGGCTTAGTTACTAAACAAATCAAAACAGCCTATTTTAAATCTTCAGCCTTATAACAATCAATCTCTATGATTATGTAAAAAAAATTGTTGAACATCCCAAACGTCCCAAATTAGAATTTATTCCTTTTTTAAATATAATATTCCACAATATGTATTAAAAACTTCTTGGATTTGGTCATCCATATTCTGTTGTCATTCTTACTAGGTCCTTGGATGATAAAATTTCGAAGAACAGTGTATCATAAATATCATACCTTATCCAATCCAATCACAAAAATTTTTGAATTTTTAATAAAAGCCAAAAATTTTCTGCTGACAGCACAGTTCGAATCTCCGGTCCCGTCTGGTTTGAATCCAGTATAACAACCATCTGCCTTTGTATTGTTTCCAAACACATGACGAAATTTGCTCGATCTAACGAAAGACATGACTGACAGTAGGATATTCCAAAACACAAATAAAAGGTAGAAATAGTATCCTTACAAGATAATACTACTAATGCAGAAGTATGGAATCTAAAATACAGGTGTTGAGACATTTCAAATTTATGATTGAGAGTTATTGAGGCATGTGTATTCAGAATATTCTTATGGAAATGTGCTCGGACGAGGCTATAAAAACTGCTATTACAGTATTTTAAGAGGATGTTAGTAAAAAAGCAAAATACACTGAAAGTGTAAGAATTTTGCATTTTGAGTTATACTCATACCAATAGGAGTTCTATGTTTATCCCCAAGAGAGGAAAGCTAATGACAAGTTCTGATCACACAGTCTTATCCATTTTTTTAAACACGTTTCACTTTGAACCCTGTACAGGCAGCCACTGATACCTAAAATATGTTAGGACTTAGCGGAATTATTTTATATTATTCAGAATCTTTCTAACACTAATCATATTTCAACCAAATCGATTCTAGGAATAACCGAATTATGTTATTCAAACCAGAGTTATTTGGAATTCTTGGATAAGGAGCAACCCACACATCTCACAAAATAGCGATGTGGAAGGAACTGAATTGTAGTTTTAAATAGTGATTCAAATTATAAATTGTTACAAAAAATCCCCAATTGCCAACTAATCAGTGGTCAGTGCATCATTAATACTAAAGTACTGACCAATTTTTAAATTTTTTGGTTTTTCATATTACGCAAAACTAATGGAAAGAATCATTTTTCAAAATAATAAAGTAGAGTTAGGATAACCAGGAACGACCCGTTTAATCTATAAAAGGATCGGACATGATTCACATTATGAAATCTATTCAATGCCCTAAAATAATTGAATATTAACAAACAATCAAAGCCCCTGTATCACCATTTTGTGAATCTCTTCCCGTAAATATATATAGCCTATAGATCAGGGGTCGGAAACCTTTTTGGTCAAGAGAGTTACAAAATATACATATTTTCAATTGCATTTCCGTGCGAGCCATATAACATTTCTTCACTTAATCAGGCCTGAAATGTTTACTCAAAAGTCAACACATACAATGTCAATATACATTTAATGTGATTTCTGATGCTGCATGTAGTCGCTGCGGGCCTTGAACGGTTGCTCACTTGCAGCCCAAGTTGAAATCTACGGTACTCATCACCCTTTTTCGTTTAGGCATCTCCGTAGTGTTTTTAAAACTCTATCGCTTTGTGATGTCACAATATATGTTCCAGAATCCCCTTCTTTGTCACAATGCCTGTCTGGTGATTATCTTACATAACATAGACATGTGCTGGGCGTGCGGTCTCAAACGTATTGGGAATTTCCTGCCAAAATTGGCTATAAAAGTGTTTGAAATCTCGTAACAATAGTACTGTAGTAAGCTTAGTCTTAGAGTATTAGATTTTTCAGGGAGCCATATGCCGTCACCAAAAGAGCCATATAAGGCTCGCGAGCCATGGGTTCCCGACCCCTGCTATAGATGCTAATATTGGAAATTACTAACCATTGTGGATATAATATTGAACATATTATGAAGTCACAATGACAAATTCAACTACTTTTGTTCAATCTAATATCAGAACTTATTTCTAATCAGCATGAAAGCATTAAAAAAAAATAAAAATCTGAATACTGATTTATAGGAACTATCAGATCTTATTTTAAATAGATAATAAATTTATTTGAAACTTTTTAATGATTGAAACAAAAGTTTCAATTTTGCAAACAAACTTGGACAATTTGGATCTAATTATTTTTGATTCTCAGTTTAAGTTATTTAAAGTAGGTTCAAAATATAGTAGCAAGCGGATGTGTGAGCCGCAAGTGCAGCAATAGATAGATGCAGTAAATACAGTTTTCCACTACCCCCCTACTCAATCAGAAATTAACATGGACACTATGAATTAATTTTTTAATAATGAAAACCAAAACAAAAATAACAACTAGTAAATACTGAAATAGGATTTGATAGTATTCCACCATCTTATAATCAATCAAATATAAACAGTTTATTACTGAAGATTTGTGATGCTTAGATTACAAGCATATTTTAACTCTAGAAACAACAACCCAGCAGCACATGAAGGTGTCAGACGTCGCCAAGCCTTTATTCAGTTATTATTAAAAGAGATTCAGCGGTACCGGTACTGAAATCGCTAGTAACTGGAACAAAATTTCCTTAATTTTCTCAATCAAATCAAATTGAGTCAGATACTCATTCCGCCGACCCGCCTTGTAGCTGCGAAATAATCTGTACTAGCCCAAAGTGCAAATAACTTCCCACATAAAACGTGAACCGGCAGATTGGGCGTGACGTCTGCGACATATCGATTTATATAAAGAAACATAAAGAGAAGGAGTAACATTTGATGAAAGATGGGTTTTTGTTTGTGATGATTACAAGAATAAACAGTGTTATATTCGGAATAAACTTTTGTAATATCTGAATTCATGTTTTATCCATATCACCGCCAAGTTCGTTAATACCGTTTTTTATGAAGATTTTCTACTCACTATTCCTGTCCCCCTTTCCCTATTCTCCACACATTCATTTTGTCTGGTTACTCCGTGGCGGTACCTCGCGGCGAAATTGGCAATTCACGTTAGACAGGAATGCATATACAGTATAGACATCCATCGAATATTACCGAATATTACAGTATTTCCTACGATATGGTACTGAAGTAGCGGGCGATTGTGTGTATAACTTTATTAATTCATGTCATTTGACCCCGTAGCTGAAACAGACTGAGATACTGCTGTAATGACGTCAGGACGTCGGAATTCTGGTTGCTTGGCTCAGCAAAGACAATAAGTACAATTCCCTACCGGTGCCCTATTTCTTGAATGGCCTATAAACAGGTAGTACCGATACCGGTAAAGCAGAAAATGAGTGTACTGTAAAGAACATACAGACATAAGCTAGGCTTTTTTACTGGGATGTTTTGATAGGCTACTGCTGTACTGGGATATACAGATATGTAAATCATGGAAGCAAAACTTCCTAATCCTATTGTCCTGACTCCTAGTGCAGTCAGTCAGTAGTGCAATACAGAAATCTGGAAATTGACTTTTGTCCATGGTATCACAAACTGAATTGTTTTGTTATTAGTTATTTTAAATAATATTTATATAAATCACATGCATCTCGATCGCAATATTATTCTAACTTATTTCATTGATTAAATGCATGCATTCGAAACCACTATTTCCTTATTTTTCTCTCAAAATACTACTAAAATGACTACCGGTACTGTCAATTGATTTTAACCTAACTTCAATAGAATCAAATCCAATACCTGGAATAACTGCTTAGAAATGTTCAAATACTGAAATATATTTGTGCTTACAGATATTTTTTTTTATAATGGAGCATACATAATTGATATTTCAAGTGTTGGAAATACTTCATAAAAAATGGATACTCAAAATGGTGAAGAATCTAAAATCTTTCACTGCTTTTTTATTGCAAATTTGGGCATTGATGAAATATCAGCACCAATCTACTTTTATCCCAAAGATGCATCAGACAATAAAGAGCTTCGTCAATACCAGAAATTTTGTTTTCCATTCAAAAAATCTGACATATCTGCAATCGGCCAGAGACATCAGCATTTTGCGTTCATGTTGACTGATTTAGATAAAACTCATACATATGGTTTTTGTAAACTGGTGGACAGTGGTCGGCAGTGTTACTGTTTTATTAGTCCTCTTCCGTGGTTTGAGATATTTTATAAATTTTTGAACTGTGTTCGGACTATTCATAGTCGAAATGATTTGAATACCCTCCAGTTACTTTTGGACGATTTGTACCTAATGCCGATACCAAAACCAAAAGTAATAGTTAATGTTAGCAGTTCGTTAACATTCTGCGCCCCAGATGAAAACGACCTGCCATCGATTCCCGAAAATCGAAATATGATGGAATATATTTCAGCAATCCATCCGAAAAATATGTTGGAAATATTCGCAGCTCTCATGTTCGAAAGGAGAATTATTTTTGCAGCGACGAGTTTGAGTATTTTGACCGGTTGTATTTTTGCGGCAGAAGCCCTATTGTTTCCCCTAACTTGGCAACACATTTTTATCCCTTTGTTGCCGCAAGATATAATAGACTATTGTCATGCACCAATGCCATTTATTGTTGGTTTACATGCTTCACTATTACCATTAGTTCAACAATCTGCATTGTCTGATGGAGTTGTTATCGTTGATATTGATGAAAAAACTGTTACTACACCATACGATGATTTGGACAATATGCCAAGTGAAGCAACGTCATTTTTACGCTCACATTTAGGAAAGCCAAATATAGCTGTCGGAACTAATTTAGCTGAAGCATTTCTCAAAACACAAGCAAGGTTAATTGGAGGATATAGGAGTGCTCTAAAATTCAGAATGGGTGAGTCTATCGTTTTTGACGACGAAAAATTTATTGAACTTCATAAAGTCGGGAGTCGCAGAAATTTTGCAGAATCGTTAGTGCAATTACAAACATTTAGAGAATTTGTTGACAAACGAATGGAAATGCTTAATAATGGTATCGGATTTCGTGACGCTTTCGAAAACGAGGTTACAGAATTACAACGTCATAATGGAGAAAATGGGAATGCAATGTATAAAGAATGGTTGACTGTTAGTCGAAAAGGAAATGAGTTCATTTATAACGTGAAAAAGCATGCAAAATCTAATATGAAATCAGCAAGAGAAAGTGCGCGTCAAAGCATGCGTGATATGAAAATTGCAGTGAAAGAGATCCAAAAAGAAAAAGAAGCTTCTTCGCCTCGTCCATCCTCGTTAAAGAGCAGACAATCGTTACGTGAAAATATTCGTCCAATGAGGCCCCCACGTCCTCCACCACCTCGACCAATTCCAGAAAGTCCATCAGAATCGCCGGAGTCAAAACACAAACCCACACGACCCCCACCTCCAAAACCAACTCGCCGATATAATTTAATCGACAATGACTTTGATAGCATCGACCATAATAGGACTGTTAATAACAACAACTCGTTAGAAATCATGGCAACGCCAAATGATGTTACTCCTGAGCGGGAATCTAATTCTAGTCTGCTTATTGACCTATCTGATTGGCAAACTTCCACTAATAAGAACTTTGACAAATTGTTTAATAACGACGCTTGGGATAAAGCAGCACAAGGTCAAACTGCTGTGAATTCCGAGCAAAAAATGAGCGGTTTTGAAAACGAACTTTTCAATTTCTCAGAGGAAAGTACTCAAACTTCAAAAACTATTCTTCCAAAACATCGTACAAGTTCTATTCGCCGAGCCGAACACGTAAAATCTCGCCCTCTGCAAATTGTTGAACGTCAACAAGAATTACCTGATGGTGAACTTTTGTTGGGCCTGTTTGATAATAATAACAAAAGCTCTAATGAACAATCAAAATCATCCATGGACTTCAATTGGGAATCTTTTGAAAATTCAAACACTAAAGATATCAAGACTAAAGTTTCAACTCAATCTACGAAGTCCATCGATGGCCCATTGATATCATTTGATTAGCTTCGTATCTAGGTCAAAAAAGATATGCAGAGTTGAAATTCATAAAAATCCCTTGAAAAATGGGTAATCTATCCAAATAGTAAGGATTTGGACTTTCCAAACTCAGTCATTCTATACATCCAACTGGTTACTTGGCCAGACATATTTTGCTCTGTAGCAGTCACTGATATACAAGGATCTACTTTATTTTAGAAGCAACAGAATACTTTTGACTGAACTGAGAAATTTATTGAGAAAACAGTTTGGCTAAATTTATATGAATAATTGGATATTTCTAATGGGGCTGGCTCCATATGAAATATTTTCATATAATGCTAGGGGTGAATAAAGCATAGTCAAGTTTTATTGGTAAATTTCATAACAAACTTTGCATTAGATTTGTCAAAGTCAGACAAAGTGGTGTACCTACTAATATCTCGGCATAAACAGTGCAGTGCACTTCGAGAAGTTATTATTATTTACTTGTCTTTCTTCTGGTTTGTATGAGTTTGCAAAAGTATTCTCCAAATATAATAATTTTGGTATGATAGAATTCAATGTTACAATTGATTTGGATTATTTAAATTATATTCTACTGTATTCAAATATAACTTTTCTTACAGTAAAATCATGATATAAATTTGACCTGAATAAAATAGTATATTTTACCTAAAGATATAGAAATTTCAATTCCGCATTTGAACTTTTGACTTTTGAGTATATTTTCATGAATTTGTTCGAATTTTATTTCAACAAATCTCTTGACATCCCAACCTAAAATAGTCAATGTAATATTTTTTGTAAATTAAATTATCTACCTAGCTGCCAATCAGAGTTTATTGACGTTGGTTTACTTTTTTTTCATTGTCATCCATATGCATTATATATTATTATAACAATGTTTCATAATGTATATAATATTACAATTTATTATGTTGTTAACGATATTTCATAACATTTAAATTCTACTACTACTAAAATATTCGCTTTATTCCTTTTTTCATTAATTGTTTCGTTTAAAATAATCTATCATCTTGATAGTTGTTTGGCGTTGTTCTTCGTTGTTGAAAAGTTGAAACAACACTCGCGCTGTAAGAATGTATTTAGCAGCAATTTAACCTTTAGTCATAGCATGGAAATGGAGGTAATTGTCACGTTTGACACCGCATCAGGATGCGTAATTATTAAATACCTGAATGTTACTTTCCTGTGATGAGAGTGTTTAATACATTCAGTTTAGAAATGCTTGAAAACCTATAAGTTGCAAGTTCATGTAAAGTTTGATGCATCAAATCTACCGGTATAATGGAAATTTACTGTTTCTAATGGAACCTGGCAGCTATTTTTCAAAGGCGTAATGAAACTACATGTTTAGATTTAATTTTTTTGGGGTCATCATTTAACTAAGCCCTATTGTTTTTATTTCTGGGGTAACGCTCCAAGAAATAGAACCATAAGTTTCAAACTTACTGTTATAAAAATGAAAAAAAAAAATTATTTAGCAGTCATTGTTTATGATTTTACCCAAAAGTTTCAGTAATCTGGAACACTTTGCACAAACGTTACTGTTCTCTCTGAAAAATGAACCGAGTTTTGTTTTTAGTGATCACTTTGTGTGTCAAATTCAACTCAGTGTCCCAGTTACTGTTAAAAATGATCAGATTATTAAAGACCTTTTCAGTGTTATTCATCACTGATATAGATTGGCAAGATGTTTTGTTATTTAATCAAAACAAATTTAGTTCTTCGTTATAAAATTTATATTAATATGTATGAAAATGAGTAATTCATTATTAATTACATTTAGACGCATATCGCAACCTGATGATATAACACATTACCACGCTTTTTGAGTCATAACAATTTATATCAACGAAGTACCGGTATGCTGTAGGCATAAAAGTTAATATCTTCTGCTCTTTTTATATGGTCTATTTTATTAATTGGTGGAACTTTGTATTTCCTGCCCACCCCCTACTGTGCATAAAAGTAGTTTATTTATTTTAAGCTAGTCCCAATTTAGTACAGTTCAAGAAGTGCACAATGAGTATTATAGTTTTATTAAAGAACTAAAGAATATTGCTAATACTACAGCAAATACAAAGCAAGATTCCTCCACAAAAACGGCAAAATTCTCCACGTAACGGTTGGGAACCGTGGGCATAATTGTCAATACAGAATTTCACCATGTTTTTCAACCCTATTCGAATAGTAAATTTTCTCAATCGATTCTGCTTCAAATGGTCACATATTTTTCAATCTTCATTGAAACTGCCATGGCAATGGAATAAATACACACCGTTCAATTTCAGAGGAAAGCTTCATATTTTAAACTGTTACACAGCTAGCACTGGCATAAACACAATTAACCAGTTTGATGATTCAGTTTCTGGCAACTTGTTTGTCAGTTGGAACCCTCAGCCCAAAGAATTGTTCCTCACAGCTTAACACAATCATTTCCTAGTTTCGCTGATTGAGTCTCGAAAAAAATTTTGGTTGCTATCCATGCCTCCATGTAGTTTAAAAAGGCCACAGTCCGGTCCCCAGGAACTATCTACCTCTTCATAATTTATTGAACGTTTATTTTACAAAATTTATTTTATTTGCAACAATTGAACAATGAAATAGAGGCAGCAGGCGTCTTTATAAAAAACAATGTAAAAATACTGATATTAAATAAAATGGTAAAAGTAAGTAGTGAAAAAATAAACTGCACATATGAACAAGGCTTATTATAATAAAAGTGATAGGCATTTACATTAAAAACTGACACATAATTATTGGTGGATTTTGATGGAAAACTCAGGTCTTTGAAGACAGCCTGTCCTAAGCATTTCATAATATAACATAATTCATTAGTTGAAACTTGTTGCAAGAGACTATACAACAAGGATTTATTTTGAACACAAGAGTGTAGCCAGCCCCAATTTTTTGCTTGTATAATGACGTACGACTCTCACTCGTGCCTTTTGCTCCGAACAAGACTAGATAAAAGCAGGCACTGATATCTTATAATATCTTGAAGAATTTCTCTACAGACTTACTTCGGTGTCGAAGTTATCCAAGGTATACAAGCGCGCATTTTATTTATCTCGATTGGTGAAAGGATTATTGATAGCAAGCCAGGAAAAGTCAGTTTTCAGTAAATCGTTCAAGAATAGAGTAAAATGGTGTTGTCGTTATGTCTCACTGTAAATGCCGCAAAATTGCATTTTAAAACTAAAATGTTGAACATTTTGTGGGGTGCATGGCCCTTCAGGGTCCCCCTGGCTACGCCTATGTTTGAACACATGCGAATCATTATTTTTTCTTTAGTAGCTATATAGCAAATGAGGTACAATAAACAGGACATGTTTTTCTTATGGGTCACATTGGAATTTCGTTCAACAATCTACTGTAATTTGTAGGCATTAATTATGGGGCTGATATTTGATCCAAAATTTAGCTGTTTTTCATTTACTTTTTGGGAACACTCTTATATGATAGTATGTACACACTTCATAGTCAATTATTTTAACAATTTGCCGCATTTGTTTAGCTTTTTAATATGCACCTATAAGTAATAAACAAATTGGATTGAGAATATATAGACATAGAAAATAGCAAATTTTCTGTGATACAAATGACAAATTGTCTTCGTAGATCTTGATTTAATTTAGTGCAGTGCAGCTCCTTCAAAAAATCAAATGTAAGTGCGCCAATAGAGGGCTATGATATTAGAATCCTAGCTATGTTGCTTATTGACAAGAAGTTGATACTCATTTCGAATTGGCTAGTCTGATTTGTATTTATTGGAAATGAAATTGATCTATCGACTGAAATAAATCGTGATTTAAAAAGGGTTGACTTTGGCCCATTCTTAGTCGATGTTAATTTCGAATTATTATTTGGTGACTGAAGTCATTTTGCTCCATAATAAAAATACACACAATCTCAGTAATTCTGCGCTTGGCACCTGTACCCTGACACAGTAAGTTAAGGTATTTGGTTAAAAAAACTTAAATAACATATATACAAAATAGGAAAAATAATCGGAATGTTGCAATCTGTCTATAAAATATAAATTCAGAAATAGTTTAGTTGAAATAAAAGAGCTGGATGCCATCAATAAAACATTCAAATCACACTTGTTGAAGAAAGGAAGTTGGTATTTGTCACACTTTTTTCTCTTCTCAAATAAAGACCCTTGTACACCCACCACAAAGAGTTTATTTGGGGTTACGTTTCTTGTTACGTCCTTGCTATGTTTGAAAAAAATAATAGTATGACATATTTTGTAAATTTTTTTCTACACTGAGACCCTTCCTGTTTTTGTGTTGTCCTCTGGGCCAGCTGATTTGGCCGCATTGTTTGTGGTATTTATATATCTTAGGAATATTATTTTATGTTAAAATATAGGACCTTCGGAGATTATGTGCACCAAGATGGCGCACAACCTGAACATAGTATGTGTACCAGGTTAGAGTTCAGGTTGTGCGCCATACTTCGGGAGCGCCAAAATATACACCGGTATGTCTAACCCAAATGGACAGCTTACGATAAATCACATGACGACCAAACAAAAGCGATCTGTAGTCTCATTTCATATTTATATCGATGTTTACAACAATCATAATTTAACATCTGAATCTGAAGTTATAACATCAGCTGAAATTAAGCTTATATTATCATGTACATCTTCAATGTTTGCAGGTTCAATCATTGGTGCTGATTCTATTTCAGTGTTTGAATTCGATAGATGTTCAGGGGCATCTTGAATTTGTGGCAAAAGTTTTTGACGCGCCTCTTGATCGTGTGAGTCCTCCGCAGCACTTGTCGAGCGACCACTCGACCTTAAGTTTGTCATTTTCATTTCGATTGCAGAAGCCCCTGAGCTTCTCATTTCTAGTCTTGTAAGAAGCGTGTTTTGGCTTCCTGTTGTATATCCGTGATTAAGTTGAAACGTAACATCAATAGTATCAGCTTGAGTCCCTGTCCTAAGCTTCTTTGAAAGTAGATATCTGGTATTTAAAAAATAAAAGCTGTTTATTGAAATGTATTTTTCCAAATTTTGATCATATTTGAGTTTCTCTGTAAAATAAACGCATTAACAAGCAGCAAACGATATAATTTGAAAAACATTTCAACAATTCACCGAGGCAATGTGTAAAAAACTGAAGGTCTCAATATTTGCCATAACTGGATAATACATGTTTTCATCTATAGATATATTAGGTGTTGGGGATGCTTGAGTCTCTGACTCGACTTGAGTCACTCAAATGAAACAACTCATACTCAAATTACTGCCAATGATTGCGATAGTTAACGAATAGCAACCTCTCTATCCACACAATATGTTGATTCTCAACAATCTGGTTTATGTATATAGAAGCTATCTATCTGTGAATTTTACTAAAGTAATAAATGAAAATGTTTTCAAAAATAAGAAATATCATTACCTCCATGCTAGAATTCCAAATATTGTTAGGATGACGAATACACTCAATAAGACAGCAAGAAGCCAAAGAAAGTATGATTCTGGAAAAAAAAATACAGTTAAGCATTAAGTTTAAGTTAAGATTCTGGAAAAAAAATACAGTTAAGCATTAAGTTTAAGGTAGATTGGTATATTTGTACTATGGGGTCATTATTGATATATAAAATATAATGAATGTTATTTAAATAACTATCAAAAACGAATTTTTGATAAATGAAAAATTTTCCATTAATCAATATACTTAATCCTGAAATGAGTATGTTGAATATGAAGCTTTGTACCTTCATAGATACAATATTTGCTTTCATCTATTTTACTATTAGACGTGATAAGAGGAAACACATGATGGTGTTTTCTCTGGCTATAAAGTTTCCTTATGTTTGAAGTCCGTCCTGGTTGAATGTACCAACGAGATGAAAAATAGCAACACTCTAATGATACATCCTTGTGACACAGGTCACAACCAGACCCAACATGGAATGAATGATAGATAGTTTATCACATGACTCAACAAAAAATCTCTGAGATACAAAATTAGATCTATCATAAGCAAGCTCAAAAACTGTTACTTTTAAAAGTCTGCTAAACGATGTAAAATGGGGCTTTTATAGAATTGAAATTTGTCTGGAGATTTTCAAAACGACAAACAAACAATTTAAGAAATACAAAAAAGTAACATTCTTACTATGATCAGGAGAGCTCGGTGTTTCCAAGCTTGAAGTTAAAATAGGATTAGATTTTGTAGAAAAGCGGTGAGGTGGTTTCGTTCTTATTGATGTTAATTTTGGTGTGGGACGAGTTGATAGAGGAAGATTTGATGTATCATCAGCTCGAACACAAACACTTTTCGCTGCTCCTTGCATCAAACATAAATCTTTACAGCCGCCGTATCCCTTTGATGCATCACATGCATTACTGCCTTGTTGTTGTTCAGCAGATACAGCCTGTAACGATGAAAATGATGATTATCTCGGCTTGGCGGTGTGGTGCATCCTTCTAAGCATTAGGAATACGCTCGCCACCGCATCTCTGATTACTCTTCGTGGGATCGCAGGTTCGAATCCCATGCGGGGATGATCATGTGCGAGAGGATTGCTGGACTCCTCTCCGCCGTAGGGTGGTTCACGTAACCGCTGGTCGGTTACGGCTTCTTCCACCATCAAGTCCATGCTTCCGAAAACAAATAACTGGCTAACTAATCCCACACCTGACTGGACTGGTAACCGGATGAGAGGCCGTGGCCGGGATAAACATGTAAATCCTATCCTATCCTATCTGAAGTATGGTGCGGAGTTGCTTGATGTAAGCAGACAGGATTTGTATGATTCTATATCAGTAATTTTCAACTGGGGTTCTGGACTGGGTTTTGCAAGTTTTCATTCAAATTCGATAGTCTATATTGTTATATGTATATAATCAAATAAATACTTGTTAGGTTTGCCACTGTTAATAAACTTGCTACACTTCAAAGACCATTTTGTTTTGTCAGTATCAGACTTGCTTTTACATTTATTTATAGTTTGAAGTATGGATAGAAATGTGATAAAATTTGAGGAAAAATACAATTAATATATTGCAATGAGGTTCCTGGAGCCTCTGGAATGTATCAATGAGGTTTTGCTCCACCAAAAAGGTTGAAAACCTTTTATCGATAATCGAAAACACCGAGCATTGAAATTTAGAATTTACACACAAAATAATTTCACCTTTATATCCATTAGACCTTCGATTCCACCCAGTAACTTAGTCCGGTGATCAGATCCAGTTCTTAGATTCAGCGTTTCTATTGCATGAGTTTTCCAGTCTGTCCAATATAATCTGCTGTTCATCTGAAAAATTCGCAAAAAATGTTCTAAAACTGAATAATATAACTTCTCTTTCCTTGAACTGAATATAAAATATTACCTTATAACACACATATTAATAGTAGCTTAACAATAAAACAATTGCTGTTTATATAATGTAGCTTATCTGTCTGTAGCTTATGGTTCAAATTGAATAATTAAATCTACTTACATAAGATATAGAGAATCCATGAAGCACGTTTGACATCACGACAGTTCGATTTCTTCCTTGCAAATCACATGATTCAACTTTTCTCATTGATGAATGAGCATCAACCCAGAATATACGACCTTCGATAACGTCAACTGTCAATCCATTCGGCCACACTATTCCATTTGATATTAGGACCTGTATTAATAAAGTGAATTAAGGAATATATAAACTGATGACTAAACATTGCAATAAAAAGTCTTATCACATATTTCAGCCCGTCTTTCATATGAAGGTAAATCTATTATATAGTAGTATGCTACAGTTTTTACCCCTTTACTCAAAAGCAAGGCATGGGACAAGCAATTATTATTATGTAAATAACTTCTATGTTCTTAGATAGTATCGAAATATTCTTCGTTCAGCATGACATAGGTACCTAATATATTATTCCTATGGCAAGGTGCTGAACTCTTGAGCCATCTTTTTTTATTTTTACAAGTTTTAATCAATCATATTTTTTGTCATTTTTACAAAATTCACAGTATCAGGTTAGAAAAATACAATTTAAACATTTAGCTTATGAAACTCAGTACCATGTGAAAATTTACATACCTTTCTATTATTTCCATCCAAATATGAACTTTCAATTTTTGCTTTATTGCCCCAATCTGTCCAAAACATTTTACCTTTCAATGGATGTAAAGCAATTGCTCTGGGTTCATCTAATGCATTCTTTACTAGTGTTTTTCTGTAGAGTAAAAGAAATAATATTCTTCAGTTTCGCAATTGGTTCAGTTATGCATATCTATTTTAGGATATGCAAAATAAAAAAATAATTACTTTCCTGTTGCTAAGGTAAAAGTTATGGAAATAGATGACTAGTTCCAAATTCTGGAAATTGCTGACTAGTTCTAAATTCATGTGATTCGAAATGCTTTCAATATTATTCATTTAATTTAACATAAGAATACCTAGTAATAGTTGTATACTGAGGTAGCGATTCTCAAACTTTTTGTTCGTGTGCCACCAAAGTATCATGGAAACAAATCCTGCCTCTAAATAAAACACCGTTTTGTAATCGTAACCGAATCAAGCGGAGCAGAAAGTAGTCAACATGGAAAGGTAAAATGAATTCATTGATTAACATTGCACAGCATTTAAAATAAGAAACAATAAAGCATTTATAAACAATAAATAAAATAGGCAATCACATTTTAGTTATGTTTGAAACAATTCTGTTAATTTTGAGGTGCCCCCTTTAATTTTCGCTGTATTAAAGTATACATTATAAAGCGCTATATACAGTGTATTGAAATGGCTCCCTTCTTTTCTCTTCTTTCATGCTGATGGAACGAACCCCAGTCTATAAATCAGGCTAAACCAAGTTTGCAATTAAATTTACAAAACACTTGAACAAATATATAGAAAGCTGTCCAAGGATTCAATTATATGCATTGTAAGGGTGTATTGATTAGCCTATCAAACTAGAAATCGAATCCGAAATCTTCAAATGCAAAGTTGACAGAAAACCATTACGCTACTTGATTCGTAATGCAAGCATTAAACCAGTATTGAAATTTACCTTTTTGTTCCGTCCATCCTTGAAACAGATATAGTATTTGGTCCGGTATCTGTCCAATATAAGTTGTCTGCGATCCAATCAACAGCAATACCATCCATTGTTTTCAAATCTCCTTCCACCACTGTTTTTGCATCAGAGCCATCAAATTTTGATGATCTTATTATATCGTGATATACATCGGTAAAATACAATATCTGAATGTAAAATAAATAAATATAACAAAAAAACAAGTTAGGAATATTGACGTGCAGGTATAAGATGTTTCAAATGTTGCTTCAACAAATTCACTGTGCTAAACAATTTTTTTCAGTAATTCTAGATCTGTGGAAATCATTTTATATTGTTTGTTTTCCTTACAGAATGAACTTAAACTGCCCATAATCTTGCAACACTTGATATTTATCTCAGCGCAATAATGAAGTTATATCTATCATGGCATAAATGATTTGCAATTCCTGTATTAATCATGTTTCCACTTATAGGTGAGGCCCGATTATGGAGCTACAATTGTTGGCTTGCACCATTCTTGATTCTATACAGCACTCGAGTCAAAAATCAGTATTATGACATCATATGCTTATTGCGCAATTACAGAGTATCTCATTTTTATTCTAGGCCACAAGATGTGATTGCCTTACTTTATGCCTCAAGTTTATACCCTACTTGAAGTTTTCGCATTTTTTTGCTTGTTTCGCTTGTTTCCTATGTATTGTCATTTTTTGTTCCATGGTAGACTTCGAAAAAACATATTTTTCTAATAAAATTTTATACAAATAAAACTTTCTTCTATTTTCCCCCCAATACCAACCTTTTTTCTGTAATGGTAATCAACAGCGATAACATTCTCCAATCCAGGAATAGGTAATTGAACATAAACATTTTCATCAGTGTCTAACGAGAGTCGTCGAATTTCATTTCTTGAGGTAAAAAGTAAAAACTGTTCCGGTATATTACTACACGTCTTCATATCTGAATGTAGTTTAATTCCTGTCGGACACGCACAACGATAACCTTCTTTTGACGTTGGACTCCGCAAACATAAATGTGTACATCCTTCTTTCCCAGTACATACTCTTCTGAAATTGAAAGATAATTAAAGATATGGTTTTCAACCTTTTACTTTTTGTAATTACATGTTAATGGCATCAACAACCAAAAAAAAATTCAATCAGAAATCTCGATTTTAAAGATACCAGCGACCTCTTGGTTATGGCCCTATTTGGATTTGTCGTCAGCAAATTTAAAATTGCTACTCCATATCATTGCGTGATTTATTTTCTGAAAACTCGTTAGGAGCAAACAACAGCTTATTGAAGATAATTGAATTTCAATTGAAAAAAATGTATTTATTTTAATAATATCAATAAAAAGAAAAGTTAACAATTTGTTCATTAACTTACTTATTTTCTATTTCATCCATGTTTTTATTTAACTGTAAGGTGACTGCTTTTATTCCCATAATATTTGGTAATTGTTTTCTCATCGTAGCAGATTGAGTGAGATTCCTCAAATTTAGTCTTTCAACATTACGAGTCTGCCAATCAGTCCAATACAGAAATCCATCCATGGCTGTTAAACTGTAGGGATGGGGTGTAGATACTTTCAATATTTTTCTATTTCCTCCGAGAAGATCCGAGCTTTCGATAACCTGTATATAAATAAAAATTAATATTTCAATATATTTAAATTACTGGAAAATATTTTTAAACATAAATTGTATTTTTTTTTTCATTTATATTTTATCTAATTGAAAACCAAGCATACCCACGACTTTTTCGTTATATAGTTGTTGTTGATGTTAATTAATCGTTATTTTTCACAACTAGGGCAAATTTTGATGGTTTTTCATATATTGTGTCAATAGGTGGCGTGAGAATACCTTATATACGTTGTTGAAAACATGGTATTAAAGCTACTAGAGCTTGAAATTCTTACCTCTATGTGTGCATCACCCCATATCAGTAAGTTCTGTTCTTCGTCGATAGTTAATCCATTCGGCCAAACCAAATCTTTTGATATTATAATAGATCTATTTGTTCCATCCATACCAATCCTCTCAATTTTAGGTAGAGATCCCCAATCCGTCCAATATAGATACCTAAACATAAAGTATTACTTATTTTAGCAATAGAATGAATCTATTGTAATTTAGAACACATTTTAGGTTGATAAAGAGGATCTAACATAGCGCCATAGTCAAAATTTGTTTTTTTTTCGAGGGAGTGATAGGTAATCGTAAATTATTTTTGGTTTATAAAATTGATGATGAAATAAGATCTTTTTACAACATTTGCCCATCATTGAAGTTGAAAAAAAGAATGTTCCCTACTCCCTAGATTCCACTAATTCCACCATCTTTGTATTTTTTCTGATGATTCAAATCCTTACTTACCCAGATTCATGATGCAAAACAATAGCACGAGGTGAGTCCAGGTTTTCGTAAACAATTGATTTACGAGATGAACCATCTAATTGTGAAACCATCACCAATTCACGATCAGCATCTGTAATAGAAAAGTTGTAAAAATTGTACTTAAAATATTGAAAATGCTGGGTGTTGGAAATTACGACAACATGGGCAAAACTGCAGTCCTTTTACCCCTACGCCATGTCTACCGCTTTGATGCTATGATATGTACGGAATAAGTAACACTATTTCACTGTTTTCACTAGCGTTAGTTCAGTGAGGGTTGAATAAAATTGCAATATGTTTAAAATTAAGTTTCCTTAAACCCAATGATGAATTCACTGCTTCCTAAAGAGACAGTCTCTTATTGCCCATGGTGATAACATGCTTTTTCCATTTTTATAAATTCTATACACTTAATGTATTCATAGATACTGTCACATCGAAATCACCTGAATTATAGCAATGCAAATTGTTACACGTATAATAGTTGATTAGTGTGTTTCAAACGGTTGCTCCTTTCTGCCTATATGCTAGTGGCTTTAATGAGAAGTTCAAATATATTTCATCACACACTCACAAAATTTCACACTATGATGTCTTATCTGACCAAAGTTCTCCAACTTCCTCAGACAAAAATTTTATTTTTCTTAATATAAAGTCGACCAACCTGTCCAATACATTTTTCTTTCCATATGATCAATAGCAAGTCCATCCACAGTACCGAGACCTGTTTGCATTATAATTTTTGATTCTCTGTTGAACGAACTCATCTTTGTTTTTGCAATACTTCGTGAACCAATGTCCGACCAATATAGATAACCTAAAAAAGAATTGTTTGTTAGTAAACAATAAGTAAACTGAAATCCTATTTTAAATTAGACAAATCGTGAGTGATAGGTATAAGAATCCAAAATATTAGGTCTTTATTTCAGAGGAAATTTCTGAACCAAAAATTGATAATTATTCAGTTGTAATTTATTTTAATGCATCCATCAAGCATATTTTCATGCGACATTTTTAACATGGCCTTTACTCTGAACAAGGCTCTGTATAAGCAGCCACTGATCAACCTCAGGAGTGGATTTTAGGATAGGATTTTACATATTTATCCCGGGGGAGAGGAAAGCCGATAAGACGGCTTATCCATATGGCGAACCACGACCTCTCGTCCGGTTACCATTCCAAGTCAGGTATGGGATTAGTTATAACGTTTGTTTTCGGAAGCATGGACTTGGTGGTGGAGGAAGCCGTAACTGACCAGCGGTTACGTGAACCACCCAACAACGGCGAGGAGTCCAGCAATCCTCTCGCACATAACCATCTCTGCATGGGATTCGAACCCGCGAACCCACGCAGAGTAATTAGAGGTACGGTGGCGAGCGTATTCCTAACGCTTAGCCCGTTGAGCCACACCGCCGCGCCAAAGATCTAGATTTATAGATCTCTCTCATTCTCAATATGCGGAAACGGCTGAAGAAATTTTGTTCAAAAATGTAAAATTTAAAGCAACGGCAATAAAGTGGTAATTTGGTGAAACAAGCATTTTTCTGTATCACACATTACTTCGTAGCCTGAGACACCTTCAAACCCCCAAAAACCTTGAAAAACCACATTTTCCAGTCTCCAGCTGAACCCGCCCGCTGTTACGATCAATTAGGAATTTCAGAAACCCCCCTCCCCACTCTGAAAACTTCTGGCTATGCCCCTAGGGGTGGTCTGGTGGACATGATATTTGTACTTAAGATTTTTAATGCGCGACGCCATAGTTTATTCCGACACTTCCAATTACTAGTCCATCAATGAGATATTGATTCGACAGCATATGCTTACAACAATTCATCACTATTATTGATTGAATGCTAATATACAACTCGCTTTGAAATTAGAAACTGTTAATTATAGACGTTCGAATTTCTTTAATTATGTACATGGATCTATAAAACTTGCTTATATATTCCATACTTTATATACAATGCCAATTTTTATGGAAAAAAAAGTATAGATGATGCATGTTTCATCATTTAAAAATGACTGGTTCTTAGAAGGCTGATATAGCTATTATGGCACCAAGAGTTGAACAAGAGTTCGAGCCGTGTACATTCAAGATGTCAAAAAAAGAACTCAGTTATTTTTATGCATATGTCTCACTGCATAGCTAGACGGAGCCTTGTTCAGAGAGGGCTTGAACCCTCAATAAAATGCAATATTCTCACCAACCTTCTACTGGATCAACTGCAATTTCCACTACATTTATAAGATTTCCAGATAATGAAAGTTTTATATCAGCAGTGTATGGAACGTCAAGAGAGATCACCCGAATATCAGTTCGTCTTGCTACAGCAATAAATCTAAATAAATAAAATCAACAGTTCAGTTTTTATACATGATTATTACCAGGCCCATATCATTCCAATTGTGACGGCATAAAGCACATATTTTATTTATTCTTTACCTATCCTGGACTAATAACTGGACAGGAGTCTAAGGGTTGCAACATAAAATACTATGCTATTCTAATCCTAACCCTTTTATATTACGTGAACATCACACATCAAACCCACACACCAGTTGCACCATCAACACCATGGTTCATCATATACGATTGAAGAGTTGAATTTTCATTTTAAATCCGGAAGAAAGTTGATAAGATGGATCAATTACATAGTGAACCACGGGACGACCCTGGACCACCCTGCAATGGTGAGAAGTTCAGAAATCCTCTTGCAAATAATTAATCAAACCTTCAAATCCATGCAGGGTAATCAGAGGTGCTATCGCAAGCATGTTTCTAATGATTAGCAGAATGTGTTCACCACCGCCAAGCCGAAAAGCCATTCCTCTCCCAGGATTAAATATAAAATCTTATTATATTCGATATTTTAAAGAAATTTGCACTTACTTGTTCATATGGCTGTTGCATGTTTTACCATCTGAACCCAATGCAAGTCCAATAGGACAAGCACAAGAATATGTTGGTTTGTTTTCGTTAGATGATGACAATAAACATAGTTGTGAACAATTCCCATTTCTATCATTACATGGGTTGTAGGAAGGTGGACGGTTCGCATCGTAGTAATGAATATCCATTAAATATTCCAAATTTTCTCGTAGTATTTGGTGATCTTGTCCTAAAGAGGGAAACGAAAAAAATTAAAAAAGCAAACATTCACAAGGCAGGCCAAGGAAGGCAAAATGATTTAATCATTCTAATTGATCCAAATACAGAACGAATCGAATCATTCTTTAACCTAACTTTCCTGTAATACAAATTCAAGCCCATTGTGTTTTTCTTGAGTATGATCTACTATAAATTAAAATATATTAGATATTTAAAAATATTTTTTGAGTTGATTATATGATTTTCACCATGGTTAAAAAATCCAATTTATTTGTCGTATATATCAGTGATTTTACTATTTTTTTTATTTATGTTGTAATATTGAAAATTCTGAAATTCAAAGAAACAATCTCAGGGTCCTTCCATTTAATTAGAAGCTACTGACAAACCTGTTATCTTATTAGCACTCTGTATCTTATTCAAGCTCCAGTCCGTCCAGTAAATTCTATCCTTGTGTAGGGCAAGACCAAATGGATGTGGCATATTATTACTCCGAATTTTTTGACGACTTGATCCATCAAAAGCACAAGATTCAATTATATGTAATCCACTGTCTGCCCAATATAATCTGTATGAAACAACATGATGATTGGTATCCAAGGTTTTGCTAGGGGAATCAGAAATTGCTTGACTCTCCATGGTCGCTATATAGTTACCGTAAAAATGAGCCATGGCGTCAATTTTAAAATTTGCCTTTCCTAGGGTTTGATAAAAATGCAGTTGTAGTATACTTTCTCATTATGGCAATGTAACCATAGAAATTTTGAATAAGATGTTACAGAGAAAAAACGACGAAAATATTTGCAGCAAAGAGACCTTTATTTTCTTAATAAAGATTGAATAAATTGCACCAGTATCTTGCATAAAACTGCAATTTTGTTTTTTCTTCCAACATAAAAATCCAATAATGATGCCACATGATGACATCACAATTTATTTAAATACTGAATCCCCGATACTTCATGAGATCATGGGGTACCCACAGCCCGCAAATCATCTGCTGAAACTATTCCATAATTTTAAGAAATGTAAAAAAATAGGATTGGTATGAGATGTTACAAATGCAACATAATTGTAATCCAAATGGTGACAGTCTAGGATACAAATGTTTTGGCTAGAGTCTGATAAGTAAAAATGATAATACAAAAAAAATCACCTTTCTCCAGCAAAATCAAGAGCAAGTCCATTTGGTGATTTCAAATTGTCAACAACAATGGCAACCCGATCTTTTCCATCCATAGATGATCGTTCAATCTTAGGTTCGTCACCCCAATCACTCCAAAACATATACCTGAACATCAAAATTGAGTAGTCTTCATTAATTTTAATCATTCCAAGCATGGCGTATAAATAGGCTGCAACTATGTGAATATATTTAGGTTTCTTTGTAAGTGAGTGAGTATTACTCAAAGGCTTCGAAATTTTTTTTTTAATTTTCCCAAGTTTTGAAACAAGACTATATTAACAGTAAATGCAGCTCTTCTTTAAATTCGTAGCTATACAACTGTTTTTTCAGTGGTTACCCATAACGTTTCTCAGAGATGAGTCTTCTTTTTTACTCCTGAGTTAGTATGTTGAGCAAATTGTTTTGAAAATATCACTGTCCAACATAGGTTAATGCTGAACTAAAGACTAAACTATATACCCTTTAGATGGGAGCAACACAATATCTCTTGGTCTGTATAAATTCATCCACACCAGTACACAGCGTGTAGAGCCATCCAGTAATGAAACTTCAATTCGATTCAATCCAGCATCCGTCCAATAAATTTTATGATTTATCCAGTCGATGGCTAAGCCGGCTGGTGAATCCAAATTACTTGAAATGACAACCTAAAAATTGATACAAAAAGTTAAAAAAAACTGTATCGTCAAATATTGTTTCAACAAATGTACCATGTTTAATGAATTTTGTTTAAATTAACATTCTGCAGTGAACCAATCAATACCTTGATTGACAAAGAGATCCAAGCATTAAACCAAAAGTTGAGAGGATACCAACTGATAGATAGATGGAAAACAACATTGACTCTGTGAGAGCTCAATGTATGGTGCAACATTACAGCTTCATCCACCATCAAAGTCCCTGCTCACATTCCAAGTAATGACCTGGACTAGTGCCCAGATGAGAAGCCATGGTTCGCCATATGACTGACCCATCTTATTGGCTTTCGGAAAAGTATTCGATATCGATTTAACCTAGTGATAGAGATTTCAGTAAATGAAGCCACAGGACTTGAAACAACTCAAGTCACTGTATTACAAACAGTTAGACGAGAAAAATTGAACAAAGAAGAAATTCTTGAGAAAAAGCTGCTTCAGCACGTAGATTTGGTTAACAAATGGGAGGGAGCGCCTTACATTAAATTTTTGCTTAATTCAGTTGAGCAACAAAAAATATTATTATCGTCATGAAGACATAAAATTAAGGCAAACAAAGACTGTTATAATGACTGTAAATATTTTATTCAAAATTTGACATTATTTTAAGTTTTGCGACATTGTTTTACTTACATCTTGATTAGATCCATCCCATTTTGCTCTGTTTATAGTATCAGAGCCAACATCTGACCAATACAAATAACCATCATTATCCCAATCCAATGCAATCGCACTTTCCAGTTTTTTCAATGGAATTACACTGTCAGAATGGTTGTCTGCGTCATATGATATTCTCCTGGAAAGGAAAACATGGTGGTGGATGTGAAAATAAAATACACATACGCAAAAGCCGAACTGAAATGATTCTGTGTGCAAAGTGGGTGTATTCATACAGCAAGATTAGCTAGGGGTTGACATGCGGAATATTCATTTTGTACTCTGAATATCATATAAAACAATACACCTTTCAATAACAAGTAATTTTGTAATTTTACATCAGAAAAATCCCATAAAACACACACCTGATTTCATTTTTCCTTGCAAAAACCAAAAATTCTTTAATTTCAACTGCACAATGTGTAGTGTTAATGAGTCGATATCCAGTTTGACAAGCACAGGAATGTCCATAAGGATTCGGTAAACACAACTGAGTGCATTCACTTTGTGCGCATTGGCTTTCTCCTGTTATAATATAAATGGTCATCATTTTACCAAACAATGCATGAACTAATGCAGAAAATTGCTGTATGGTATACAAATGAAACTGTTTTGATAGAGATTGGCGTCACTCGTTAATAAACTAAGATTCAAACCCAATGCCCAACACCCAACCCAGGGTGTCAATAACTAGGGAGGAAAATGTCGAACAGTATGTGAATAAAACTTTCTTAGTGGAGCATTGGACTCTACTATGTTGGTGTCACAGGTTGCGAATCTCATCTAGGGTTCAAATGTCATTTCCACCACCTTAATCAGAATGTAAACAATTAGGCACGAAATGCCGAACTGAAAAGTTTCTAGTCTATCCTAGCATAACAGATTTTACAGTATCAGTGGTGAATTGTGCAGTGCCTTGTCTAGAGTGAACGTCAATGTTTTTCTTTGAAAGGTGGTACTTAACTTAAATTTTGCATCTTTATGATGACAAAATCAACATAACAAACTTTACCTTCTGGTTGTCTCAGTGGATGATATGCTTGAATTCCCATTGGAAAATGCAGATGATTATGAATTGATCTGAGTCCATTTCCAGTAAATTTGTTGGCACGGTTTATACTTTTTGTATCCCAATCAGTCCAATATAGTTTGTCTTCAAATACAGTGATAGCAAATGGATGAGGTAGACCTGGAAGAAATTAATATCAGGATAACTCAAGGAACATGTTGACAAATAACAATCTACCACTATGATAAAAAGTCTTTACTCAGTTTTTGAGGACAATCTCTGTGGCTCACTGCTAGGCCGCAGAAACAATTTAAGTGGGCCACAAACATATGAAAAAATAACAAAAGGTTCGCTCAATGTACGTCACTATGTAAGCTACATTAACATGAAACGCTTTACAAAAATCAAATACAACTATAAACATTATCCATAAATGGTGTGATGTCTAATGTCTAAAACAAGAACTGATTCGGTGATTATCACAACATTCCGAGAACGAACTAGTGAAAACCACAGAATACCACGCCTGACCTTATAGGTATATGGCTAATCACAGTGTTTTGTAACTCTTAGAAAAAAAACATAATTAGCAAGCGATTATATAACTACCTAGTAAAAATAAGAAATCTAACAATTGATGCATAATCATTTGAATTTGCAAATTCCATATAAGGTAAAACCATATAATATTACGAAATAAATTTTCAATATGATACAGCAAATTGGCTTATCATTTTCACTCATGGCATGTATTTTAATAAAAAAAAGCTGATTTGATTAAAATATAGATTAAAAAATACCTCTTGTTATTACTGTTTTCCTATTTTTTCCGTCAGTGTCAATTCTTTCAATTACATGATGTTTCGCATCCACCCAGTATATTTGATCTAACGTCAAATCTAATGTAAGTCCATTAGGCCAATACAAATCTTTTGTCGTCAAAACTTTTCTATTTCGACCATCCATCCATGCACTTTCTAACCTGGGACTTATTCCCCAATCAGTCCAAAATACAAGACTGCAAAGATTAATAAAACTAGTCAAAATAAGACAATTTTATTTTGGTCGGAACTTGACACTCCAACAAAAGATTTCAGCCATTGTGTTCGTTCGCTGCAAGTTTTGATTCGTTTACTGTCTATGTTCCCTGCCACAGAGAATTTTCATGCCAAACTCTAGTTATGTGGAATTAATTCACTCTCATTTTTCAGATCATAGTAAAACAGACTAGTAAAACAGTTTTATGTCTCAAGCCAAGCTGCCTTTGCTGTTGTGTAATGTAGTTGAATAAATATATAGTTTTCAGCAGCTTTCTTAGTGGTCGCCAGTGAATTTGCTCATTACTCCTGAGTGAGTGTGCAAATTGGTTTCAGTGAATTCTTTTAAAAATGATTAATCTTGAAATAAAAATGTCACCATTTATGAGGGTTTTAGTAGTTCTTTCAATGGTCGGCAGTAAATCTGATCAGAGATGAAACTTTTTACTCCTGAGTGAGTGTGCAAATGAGTTTGAGTGAATTCTCTTGAAATAATTAATCTTAAAATAAAATTCACCACTCATGTGGGTTTTAGTAGTTTTTTCAGTGATTGCCAGGGAATTTTCTCAGAGATGAAATCACCGTACTTTGAAAAATAATTAGTCTTGAAATAAAACTCATACCATTTATGTGGGTGCACAACAATTGCTCTTGGTTTTTGGAGTTTTTCCCATAAAAGTACTTTACGATATTGTCCACTCAGTTTTGATACTTCTATTCTTGATGTTCCAGAATCAGTCCAGTAGAGTAAGTCATGTATCCAATCAACTGCTACACCACCTGTAAGATAGCAATTCCATTATGTTTGTTATTGAATTCGTTAAAAGTTAGAGGAGCATGTTGGCACTCACAAATATGTGCCTATGGCAAGTTTGCCACCACTCTTTAATGTGAAAACAAAATTTTAATATTTATTCTATTGAAGAGAAAAGCCATTAGGATGGCTCTATAATATGGAAAATTTATGCCTCTGTCATCACACTCTACAATCAAAGAACTAAAATATAGTAGCATTCTGTGCCTAGTTTACTAGCATTTTCTGTTATACAGAGCGATTTTTCGAACAATGATGAAAGTCACGCATTGAAACTTATATCGCTATGCTTCATTTTATCTACTCACTCGGGCTTTGTAGTCCCCCTGTAACAATATCTTTGACATTACTTCCGTTCACATATGATGACTTGATTTGATCTTGTGTTACATCACTCCAAAATATTAACTCTTTTTTCAAATGATAGTCTGTAATTGGTAGAAAAAAGGGTGTGAGACATTTTGTAATTAGTACAATAAGGATATAAGATAATGAAATGAATGAATGGTATCAGAATTAGATTTATTAGCCAACGGTGCTCAAATGGCTATTCTATATTATATGGTATTATCTGAATTTCTACCAAACTACAAATGAGGATGTTAGCAAACCTTATTTATCCATCTTAAACCACGTATCAATAACCGAAGATAGAGACATTTATTATTTTGACGACTAGAATGAGTAATTAATAAAAAAATGAACCAATAAAGCCAATGTTTCTTCAGTATAATCGAAGAGAGTGATACAGTCATCAAATTTAATTTCCACCAGAACATAGTTGACTAAAAGATAGCACACAAAATCCCTGAGCATAAAAAATGCCATGGTTACCAATAGCGACTGCATTTTCCAATCCATGGACAACAGGCTCAACATCAGTTTGACCAATTTGTACATTTCTTATATCGATTCTATTTGCGAATAACAATGATAATTCAGGTCCTTTTGCTATGCATGATCTCCTATCATATCGTAGAATATAACCATCAGAACACGAGCAAGTGTAACTTCCATTTGTGTTGATGCATTTTTGACTGCAAGTGCTTTCAACCAAACACTCATTTATATCTGAATAGTTACAGTAATAGAAAAGAGATAAAAGCATGAGATGTCTTATGAATAATCCCAACATAAAGCAAATTTTTGACATACATATCAAATATCAATATAATGTACTTTATCAAGTCCATGCATCTGTAACAATTAACTGGTTAACTATGTCCATACCCAACATGGACTGGTATACGGACAAGAGGCCCGGGTTTGCAATAGTTTAATTAGGCTGTCTTATCCATTTTCCCCTTCATCAAATGGAATATAAAAATTCTATCCTATCCTGATAATACAAATTATATACAACAAATACGTATATTGAATGATAAATATCCACAATTTGATCTCAACAATACTTAAGTACTAAAATGTATCATTCAATTTTTGAATTTTTCTCCATAAAAATTGCATAGAAACTTACCTAGACAAGAATTCCCATTCACTGCTAACTTAAAACCACGTTGACACATGCATTTGGCTCCAAATGTTGTATTTTGACAGAAGTGTTGACAGTGCCCTCGAATGCCAGAACACATAGGTCTCTTGCCATTAGTTGCATCTGAAGTATAAACCATAATAAAAGGGTTTTGAGAGGGAATTAGTTTAAACACATAGCAATTGGAATCTTATCGATGGTGCCCCCAAATATCAATTGTAACCCAAAGCAGGAAAAAAGAGCAAAACGTATCTATACTTGGCAACTAGGAAGTTCATTTTTTAAATCTCGGTGATACAAAGTTACTTACTGCAATCAAATTTAGGTGGCTCATCTGATAAATCAAAACAATCTTGATTTCCATCACATAATTTGTGAATTCCTATACATTGACCATTATCACATGCAAATTGATCATCAGAGCAGACTCCAGATATATTTCCTGAAACATAAGAATGAACATTAACATTAGAATGAAATCAAGACAGACAGGTATCATGGTAATTAGTAGTATGACATTCATGTCAGATGTATAGACTTGACCGCGCTTCGTTGTTCAGCTGCAGCAACGTCCTTTTTAAAATCAATAATATACAAACCACAATCTTCTTCATCACTGCTGTCAACGCAATCTTGTTCTCCGTCACATTTCCATGATATTTTAATACACTGTGAAGTTCTTGCACATTGGAAGTGTTCACTATCACACAATGAAACATCTATAGAATAAAAAATGAAGCCAAGTTTGTGTGAAAATATTACAACGAAATAGATGCTTTTTAAGCTGGTATCTATAGTTTGAAGCAATATTTACAAAAATATTTCAATAAAATATCACAGGATTTAATGAAAACTATAATTATACGTTATCTTCTAGAAACATCTTTTTGATGTAAGCCCTCGAATCGTGAATATAAAATTCTAAGAATTTTTAATATAATTTACATAACATGTAAAAAAAATACCGCAATTCGTCTCATCTGAATTATCATCACAATCAGCGGCATCGTCGCATCTCCATGTATCGCTGATACAAACACCGTTTGCACATTGAAATTCATTCACCATACATGTCTTTTCTTCTCTCCCTAGAACAAATGTAGTTATACAGGTCATTTTGTGTATATTACTCAAGATGTTTTTAATCTTATTATAGTATTATTCAGTCTTATCTACTATTGCACATTTATGAATATGATGCATGGTATTGTCTTTAGAACAACAATACGTGAAGTGGCTTTTATTTTAGTTCGACTAAGATACACAAATGAAAAGTTTAAATAAAAATTGGCATACAGAAATACCTAGAAATCGTGAAAACTTTAATGAGATTCAATACTGCTGATCTATGAATATGGAACAATCCCGTTTCCATAAGCAACATATACTAATAACTAACCAGAAGTTATAGTTCGTCATATGATTACACCCAATTATCGGTTTTATTCTCCCCTATGACAAACAAGAAATTCGTTTTCTGATTTCCAATTCGTTGACACGTTGAATTCACATAAACAATGCAATTCATCGAAGTGGTTACCAGTTTGGTATAGTTTAAATACTATTAATTTGTATAATATCTAAAATCTCGAATTAAATGTTATTCTATGCTTACCAACGCACTCAGCTTCATCAGACGCGTCACCACAGTCTTCGGACCCATCACATCGATTAGTTTGTGGAACACATTGGCCACTAGCACATCGGAATTCGTTCGCTTCGCATCGGTCATCTGCGCCGTTGACAAATAAATACAATTGAATAAAGAAAGAGAAGACACCAAAGTGCGAGACTCAAAGAAGGCGTGAATAGCCTGAAATGTTGCTTTCCCGCACAATCTAACCTTAACGTTACCTATTCCCATACAAATACATGAGACAATTAATTAACGCGACTACAATATATTATAAAACGAACTCACAGCAAGAAAACTCATCGCTTGAATCAGAGCAGTCGTCATCACCGTCACATCTGTAGCTACTTAGTATACATTCACCAAATTGCTCGCATGAAAATTCATCGTGTTGGCAAGTAACATTAATGGCGATTACTTCAGAGTTTTTCACTAAAAATCAAGTATATATTACTAAAAGTTAAAATGCTTTGTTTTGCTATAGAATGCTCACAAAAATGGCCCCTTCAATAATTATCTACTTAACGATTACTGTGACTGCCGAACTATCGGACACCTCAAAGTAAATCTCACAACAAAATATTTAGATTATCCGCGATATAATAAACCCTAAAAATCCTACGCCCGCACTGTTGTAAAATTAGTAAAATAAACTTTCAATTTATGTAATTTTCAAAACATTCAAGTAATTGATAAAACCCAATACTTACTATCACAAAGATGTTCGTCGGACCCATCGCTACAATCCTGTTCACCATCGCATCTCCAATCGTTGACAACACATTTTTCGTTATTATCACAGAGAAAATGTCCTTCTGGGCAATTTTTTTCTGAAAAAAAGGAAAAAATTAACTGCGACAAGTCTGATCTGTAAGACTGACTTCCAAAGCTTTTGTTTATCATTTTATTCAATTTGTTTGAGTCAAAATGTATTCTATATATCAATATTATTGTAAGTTTTTGGAACGAGCTTTGCGGTATATAATAGGATCTCATTGAGAGAGAGAGCAGTATGGAATGTGACGTCACAATACCATTTAAGCGCAGAACGATGCAAATGGGTACAATTCAGGTACTGTCAGGTCAAGGGCAAAAACTACTGCACAAGCAAAACCACCGTCCCGCTTAAACAATACGAATACTATCCCGAGATTTCCGGATTTACCAGACGAAGAAAGTCGATGAAACGACTTATTTACATTGCGAGGCACGAAATCTCGTATATTTACTACTCAAATTAAGGTATGGGTATAGCTAGCCGGACAATATTCAAAGTTAGACAAAATTATGCGTCAAGTCGCAGATTATAAGAACCCCACATACCAGGATAATCGCCACAAGATTGTTCGTCGCTATCATCCCCACAGTCATTCGCACCATCACATTTCCATTTATTTGAGACACATAAACCATTTGCACACCGGAAGTAATCACTTCCGCAAGTCTCCGCCCCTAAAAAGCAGCCGTCTTCGTCACTCTGGTCCCCACAATCGTTATCACTGTCACATTTCCATTCGATTGGTATGCAAGTGCATGATGACGTCGCGCATGTAAACTGCTTTTTCGCACACGTGCACTCCGTGACGTCACTATCTGAAAAGAATTGGTGAAATATAAGGGTACTTGCATCATAATGTAAGATGGACCTTTTCTAACCTTTTTTTGAACTTCAGAGCACGTTATGATAAAGCTGATTTATAAATATATATTCCAAATTTTACATCGATAATTCATAAAAATTTGAATTTTAAGCAAAATTGGCTAATTTTTTCACTATACTACTGTAATTCTGATTTTCCGAATCCCAATATACATTTTAATGGGTTTTTTAGATTTTCGTATACAATGGATAATAAACAATTTCTGCATACGAAGTTACTATATTTTATAACTAAAATCTTCCCGTTTCGACGAAGCCTACCGCTCGTCGGGTTTGGTGGAGGTCATAGGTTAAACACGGCATCTTCATTCCGCCACGCCAACATTGTAACCACTAATCCATTCTCTTTTATATGGTAAGCGAAAACCAGTAAAATTACGTTGATTTGATATAGTGTTTGAAAATGCTTATACAAATTTGACCCGTTGAGATCAAATAAAATTATAAACAGGAGAAATATACAAAAGAATGTTGTAATATCGCTGACATAACAAAATATACCAATAACCTTAGCGCATTAGTCATCCGCTAATTAGCGAATTTTACCCATCTTACGGACGAAATAAGAAAACTATAAGCACTATGAAATCCTGCTACAAATACGACACAAATTTGTCCAAACCTAAAATCAATTTAGAAAGAGTGAATTTTATATGGACCAAACTTGGCAGCAGATACTATTTGTTTTCAATTAATGAAACCAAGAATTTTCGGAATGTGTCTAAATCGCACCGTGCGTGCGTTGTGTTAAGTCAACCAGTCTCCGTGTAAGAGCACACCCCCCTATTTTGTTCCAGAATGCTTTTCTAAAGGGGCTTTATAACTGGTTCATTTTAACCCAACTTTGCGTGCTGCAAGTGTGTTTACTACATAGGGCGCAGGGAAGGACTCTCGTCGTCTTTTCCATATAAAGATGTCCCCGGGAGACAATGTCTTGAATCCTTACTATCATGCCATAGCTGAATAACCCTTAAAAGTCATTTTACATATGGAGCATAATATTGTCATTATACTTTAAATATAGCTCTAACAGCGTCTTGCTTGAATGGCCGCACGCGATACAAACGTTTAAACAAATTGATAGAATAATGATTACACCAAATAAACACCACCTCAATGTCAAATCGAGGTCGAGGTCACCCATCTACCACTTCAAGGTTTATTTATTGTTCAATGGCATTTGTACAATGTTGAAATGTATTCGTCAGAGGCATACTTATACAAAGGTTCTCAAACTGTGTCCCCTTGATTGCAAAATTAAAACAAAAATGTCGCTACTAGACATAGACACATACCTTCAATGAATCACGAGGGAAAGGAAATTGGAAGAATGAAATTTAACAAAGAATTGAAAATGGATGTTTAGTTTTCCGTTGTTCGAAATAATTCGTTGAGTTCACATACTTATGTTTAAACCAAGAAGCTAATTTGCACATTCATCGATATAACACCGATAACCGCCTATTTATTTACTGGAGAAAGGTGTGTTTACTGCTTGCTAAATTCACCCGTGATTAGGAAATGTGTTTCTAGGATCGCTTGCCGCAACAATAGAAAGCGTTTTACTTTTCTTTTTTTTAGTCAGAAACGATTTATAACAATATTACAAATTACCCTGTTTCAAACCGCACACATGTGGCTCGCCCAGGGTGTAGAAATCAATTATATGTAGATACCAAAGATTGCTTTCAAAAGAGAGTCCTTATAGATCCCTATGCAACTACTCATACAGAGTATTGTTGGTAAGCTATGGCTATGAATGCATAAAATCACCGCTGGCTATGCTAGTGTATCCATTCCAAGTTTCTCCCCCTTGATTCCAATATTCCAATCAATTTTTACGGTGCATTCATCCATTCGATCGACGTTAATGTAAAAGCGCGTACAAATTAAATTTTGGAACACGTTTGGATTATTTCCGCGTGGAATCGTTTTCAATCCCCATTCTGGGTCAAAATTTAATCACCGTATTAATTTCATTATTGAGAAATAGTTCATTTGTAGTATCTGGAATCGGTATATAAAGTTGACCGCCACAGTTCTTGACTTAACTGTAGTAACATCAAAACAATAGAATATATCCACAATTACGCGCTAAAAGAGCACTTAAAATTTTGGTGGATGACAATCGAAACTGTTGAAAAAAAATCGTAAATGTCGAATCATTGTGTAAAACAAACAAAACCTAACAACCATACAAGAATACAAATCCTTGTTTTATCTCTGGGCATCTTTTTCCAAATATGATACCTTAATTTTGTTTTGGTATAAATGAATAATAATATTGATTTACCATAAAATTCAGCGTGAATTTATAGATTCCCGAAATGTAAATCATTTAAGGTAAAAGGGCGTATATGATATTTGCACGACATAAGCGGGCGGATGTTTAAAAGCATCAAATACTACAGAAAAATAACGCAAATTCAACATGTAAATAGCGTAATACAAATACTGATCAAACAAATATGTTTTAGTGAGATCCTGACAGGCTCTGCGATTGACTTTTAGATCAATAATTATTTATGGTGAAAAAATTATAATCAATTTTGCTGATTTTTTTTAAAGTATTCTGGAATTGTGAAATTCTATATTGTACTTTATATGGAACTTAATACCTCAACTAAATGTGATAAAAATTTTCGATTAGGAAGATTTTTAAACTAAGAAGTTTTAAGTTAATCATGCTTGATCTTGCCTGATACAAACGTTATATTGCCTTATTAGGAATGGCACAAAGTAAAAAGTTTGGGCACGTGAAAGCTAAAATCTAATAATGTTTTTGACTATTTTTGAATAGTTTTCGGTCCAGTGAAAAATAATGAAAAAGTGTACTGTGATTTTAAGTCTCTTTATTCATAATAATACTATTCCATATCAAATCCTACTTATATTTCCTATACCTATGCTTAGTAACATATTTAAATTTATTTGTAAACTTTACTATTTTTTTCATTCGTTTATTGAACTCGTTTTGGTATAAACTAAATTATCGATGGGGTGCAGTACGGTTTCCGTAACTTTAAAGGCGGGAATCATTACATACCAACCATAAACAACCGTGTTTTGGTCTCGTAATAATGTAACCACGAAAATGGATATTTTAGAAACATTAGGAGAAAGGTGGAACATTTATCCCATGCTATAACAATATGCTTACAATCGCACAGACTTTTTCAATAAAATGGATATTTAGATTCCCCTCATTGGCGTTTTTGAATCGATTCAATTTTACATTATGTATTCAATTACACGTAAAATTATTAAGATACCATGGTTTTAAAGTCTGTTACATAACTTAATAATAATGTGGGTTGTATCAATAACAAATATTTCAGCAATTACATTATACATTACCGGCAGGCTGACGCCATGTTGCAGGAATGAGATAAACTTGAATATGCGATGCAAAGTCAGAAATCGACACTATACAGTATGCTTATTTAGAAATGAAACTTATCATATTCTGCGCTACTTTTCCATATATTTTTGAACTCGTAGACCTAAATATATTGCTAGTAATCTTATATACCTGTCACTACCGTAGACGTAGCCAAAATATCTATTTTGTCTTTGTATAATAAAAGCCTTTTTTGGCGATTTTTGTACGAAACGACTGTATATGATAATAGTACACCATTTTAAATTGACAGTTAAGGTATTATACATGTTCACTTATAAATTTTGCCGGGGTCAAATGTCATTTATATATTATTCAATTGGAATAGAACATGCTGAAACTTGTCATCAAATACAATGAAACACTAGTAATCTTTACGATATTTCTTTTGTATACGGGTGTACGATTCCCAATTGCACGAATAAATCCTATCGTGTTTATCAATTGACGTCCATAGGAAATACGATACTTAATTTCTGTTGTTTGTGCACCGGGTTACGTCATATGAATGACGTCATAATTATCCACTTTGTGTCTAATGACTTTTTGAAGTGTTTTCATCTAATCACAGATATTTCCACCGTTATCAAAATACGAAAAATCAGTAGTTTTGACCGGAATATCAGACAATGAAATAAAAATATCAATTGATATAGCAATATGTGTAATTATGTCCTTAAAATTAACCCAACTTTTGGTAAAATACACAATTAATGCCTTCGGAGAATAGTAATTACTATGTGTAAAAATCGCGGTCAGGTGTAACGATAGAATTAAAATTTTTGTCGTGGAAGTCGATAATTTGTAGCGTGTACAGTATAACCAGCCTCTCATAGATTAAGTCTGGTTGAAACGGATCACTTCCAAATAGGCAGACACCACAAAGTTAAATACAGAGATATTGTCAAATTAATAGTTATATCATAGTATTAGTCAGAACGAACATGCCACAAACTTGTGGACTGAATACCGGGTGCTTATTTGAAATTCAACTTATTACTTTAACTGACTTTTAAATTACTGAAAATAAATGAGATATAGCATCGAAGGAATAGTAGTTACTATGCATATTATTTACGGTTAAATACTCACGGATTTTCAACAGTTTTTTTTTCAAATCGTGAATATCCCATTACTGACTGAGTACCGCACTTGACTAACTTGAAGCTAGACCACGTTTTCGCATAATTAAAAAATAGTCGAGTCGATTTTTATGAATAATTTCTTTTAATTTATTTATTATTTTCATTATGCACAAATTCTGAAATATCTTTACTATTGATAATATTTTAATGAAAATATTCACCGATTCAGTAAATATTTGACATCGACTGGCAACTGTCCGCGAAGACAAGGATTTATGACGTCGTATGACAAACAATGTCAATGTTTGGGACAAGGGAAGACTTCGAATATCTGTCTGTACAAGCAGATGATAGAAGTGCGCTTATCTAAGTTAGAACAAACGGTATTCACGCAAAGGTGCGACATGGCACATAACTTCACCCTAATTAATTCTCCCATGTCTTTACATTGAGTTACTGCCTTCCTATAATATTGACCATACAAATAAAGAGAGTAAATATCAATTACCTGATAGAGAAAAATGTAGACAATACGAAACGAAAACAAGCACAATATATCGCAGGTCAGCTTTCATCTCTGATGCTTCTAGACACGCATAAATCACAACATTATAACAAGGCCCTTAACGTATAATATTCCCTTTACTCGATAACTGATAAACACTATTCTTTTGAGTTAGTTTACCATGCCTCGCTGAACAGTGGGTCGACGTGACGGCGCTTTCTTTCAAATACCTTTAGTTGAGTCTAAACTAAGCTTGTCATAAGAATAAAGATACAAAGAAAAAAACGTTACCGGTACATGCGCTGCACGAGTCCACGGGCGACGGCGATTACCCGCCGTGGACTAACAATGGCCTATCATTTTTTCACTCAGAGGACACCTTGACACCGCTCGCTTTTTCAATTCACGTAGAGCTTTGACAAAGCAAATTAGGCCACATTATTAAAATTGTATATTTTATGGTGTCATTACGTTATTAAAGCAATTATAATGTTGGTTAATTCGTCCGTCTTAGCGAACTCCAACATAGAATCATCTTTCCAGCGCAGACCTGTTATTATGTGGTAAACACAATAACGACTAAACGTTAATCATATCTGTGATTTGCTATGTTCTGCTTCTTACTGAAAAGTGAAGTAATTCAAAGCCTAGCTCTATTCTACTTAGCAAGCCTCTCGGTGATATTCTCGATGAAACACTTGACCGTTAGATAATAAGTTTGTAACGCAAAATCTCAATCTTTCAATTATAATAAAGCAAATGTTTTTGTACGTGACCTAATCTCGAAACCCTCCTAGCATTCACGTTTTCGTATAAGGTAGAACGTCTTTAAAAGAACAATTCACATTACACCACTGCAACACTGTACCCTTCGAAATCCATGACGTCACCAAATATGACATTACTTCATTTACATATCTCTCCAGAGCTAAAATTTACATCTGTCACTGCCCAGAGGTTCCACAACTTTCTCACAATTCTGACCGAAATAAGCCATGGGTATCTGCATGAATTCATTAGTGTGACAGCTAAACACGAAACCAGGATCATTATGCAACCACAATACGAAACAAACATCACTTACAATTAAATATTCGTCATCACGTGAGAATAAACAGAAAACGATAAAAAATGGGTCAACAAGTTTCATAAGAACCTAACAAAGTTGTCACTAAAACAACCAATTTTTTTTTTCCAGTAAGTTGTTGTGCAGGTGCTTCCTGTTCGCGTCACTACTCAGTCTCATATACTCATACTCAGTCAGAATTCGAAATGTCTATGGAAGAGAATCTATCATCATAACGCCGTCACGACATAAATAGAATATTTATAGCTAATATAATACAATATGCATAGAAAAAAATACTACAAAAAAATGGTAAATTTCAAAGAAAATAACACAAAGTTTTGTTCACTAATATTACAGTTCAGCGCTGAACAAATATACATGTATTTTTGATCGGAATCTGATAACATAATTTTGGTTTTCCGTCACTTATACTTACTTGGTTTTTTGGGCGAGCCTTGCGTAAGACCCAAAAACATTAATTTATTGAACCTAACCTTTTTATTATTCAGGGGTGTACGCACTTTCGATAAACGCAGATTATCAGTAAACGCTACGTCACACTCAAATGTAACCCGGTTCGTTTACTGAAGTTCTAGGCCGCTCTTTAGCCCCACCCCTTGTTCCAATAAATATAATTCATCTCGCCTCTGCGTGACGTTTTGGAGATTTCACCGTACTATATAAAATACATTTTAAATGTACACAATTTAATCGCAGTTCAAGATGGCAGAATAAAGAACCCATGTTTGTGTTATCATTACCATACATACCTTCATAATACCGACATGCTTATTTTTGATTTTGCGGTTTTATTTCAAAAGTTCTGTTATCACATGAATAAGTTAAAATTATATCTTAACTTTTCTGCTTTGTGTAAAATTATGATTGAGATCTCTCACTATATCGGATATGAATCCTAAGATCAACTCGTCTTGTTTATATTTTTCAAATTTGAATTTACATTAAAATGCTACACATTTCAATAGTCAACTCTCTTAAAATGGAAATTATCATTATGAGTCGGATATTATAAAAATTTAAAATTCTTTTTCTGCTACTAAATGTTTTCTATTTGAATAGTTATTTTTTCACCAAGACTCGCTGCGGAGTCGTTAATGATTGACAGATTCGAATCTTCATTTTTGACTTCGGGGATGACGGGATGCGTAGGCCATTGGTTTCCGACGTTTTCAGCGTAATGAACCCTGTTTGGATGAATTGACTGCAAGTTACGGGCCCCTTCAATAGCACCATTCAATGCAGCTCTATGCAAGCGGTCTCTACTAGAAATATTTTTTTTCATCAAACTTTAGACATACAGCAAAAATATTGAAGGATGATATATTAAGATTTTGACAAAAAAGCTGATAAAATTATTCTGGTATGGATAAGATACTCGAGTACAAACAGATTTTAAATACCTGAATTATCAACTTGTATATTTTGTTAAAGAAAAGAAATTAATTCATTAACATGGATATGATCTTGTTACTTTGTAGACTTGTTTGTAGATATGCGCTTGATTTGCTCATCCGGAAAGTTGTATCTTACTTTTACTATATATATATATGTTGTTCTACCTTCTGCATTTGAAGCTCATGGGCACCAAAAAATCCTCCTATGGTTTTGGGGCCTATTTAATGTGAGCGAATCCAGATGAAATTAAAGCGATCTTTATTTCGTTTTGTCTTACCCTTTTTCGTTGTTTTTACTCGACCAGATTCAGGGTTGGTTGAGAATGAGGTTAGACCTGAGATGAGGTTAAAGGTTAGGCTTTTTTCAGTTAATATCAAGGGGGCGATTTTGACACGAAGTCATTAGTTCGTTTGGTACAAAGTCCTCTTTTACAAGATTAAGTCGAAATGAAAATTGATCTTGTATAATTACAACGTTTTTTTTTACCAGCAGACATGACCAAAGGAATCACTACGAGGTGTGGGATCAACATCTTCCCCCTAAAAAATTAGTTCGCATCAAATGTAGTTAAGTTATGGTAAAAAAGATTAGTCGATTTAGTTTTTTTTTGGGTTTAATTTTTAAATATGTCAGTGGCAAGGCTGCTTTCAGTAAAAATCTAGTAAAAAAAATTAACATGCGATGTTCAGACGAATAATATTGAATACACATTTCACTTGCGAAGGAAAGCCGCGGGGAACCAAAGCTATTAAACAGCGACTCCCAAGGTTCAAATATCTAAACAACCAGTAACGAATCTCTTCGCTGACCTTGCATTTGACGAGTATCTCTGCTCTGTTGACCGCTGGAGCAAAACCGCGTGGTGGTCATTTGACCATGCCGACCCTTCGTCATATTTGACTTCACTCACTGTAAGTATTATCATGAAACTCTTCCATCTACCACATTCCTCTGATCTGTTTTGCAACACTATATATATAAGAACATGATTAGATTATCAGCTTTTATCAGACTATTGTTTATTCTGTAGTTCATTTCATTCGCCATATACTTAATTGAATATACAATGAAAAAATCTTCTGAGTAGCTAATTGTTAAATATAGTCTGGACAAGGCAGTGACTTGAAATGATGAGTGAATGGAAATTACAAATTGAAATATTTTTCTGCCGAACAATAGTTATATGAGATGTTATTCATATAACTACTTCTCACATAATTGATATTACTGTCTTTGACATTACATTAAAAGGCACAGACAGAGGATATAGCATAATTACTAAACTACATATTTAATAGGAGTAGCTTTAACGTACAACAATATATATTCATAATTATTCATGTCAGTCGTTTTCCACGAAAATTTCGACTTTGTCTGGAATATTTGTTTTTAGTAGCCGCAGCGATTTGAGCAAAATTTTCAAAAATTCAAATGCTGCAAGGCTTCATTCATGCGAGTTCATTGCCTTCTTGTGCCAATTTTCTGAAGCAGTAAAATTTCTATTACATGATCATACAGTAAGACTTCTAACCTTATGTGCACGAAATGGGCTAAAGGGATTTTCCTCAATCATTTGCCACAACTTTCTATAACTGACGTAATGCAATGTCGTAGTCATTCCCTTAATTTATCATGGTACCTCTTGGCGTTTTAATGACAATTTTTTTAAATTTTCAAATTCTTATGTATTCCGTTTTCGAGTGAGAACCATAGGCGTGATTCTTTTTTAGAACAAAAACCTATGTAATTCAAATACTTTTAGTTGTTTCGACTTGCAATGTAAAAAATACGATAAGACTAAGAGCCAATTTTGAATTCGTAAAATTAATCTTGAATTGATATATGTATATAGTACCTATATTGTATCGTTTAAATATCCTACAAATTATTATCAACGTCGAAAAAGTTTTGTGGTTGCAAAACAAACCTATTTTTAAATCATGATCACTTATATCGCTTGGTTTTGGGACAGGGAGCCTTCACGAATTCGCATTGCACACGCTTGGTTTTTGTGAAATATCGAATAATCATGATCATCAAGTTTTCACCACGTGTGTATATGTAATAAAGATTTTTACCAAACTGTCTTCATCTCCCATACCGGTAAGCCAACGAGAAGAGGTCAATAATCACATCAATCGATATATCCCTGCGGCAAATCAGCAGTGTGGTATAGGAAAGCTGTAGATTATAATATATAAAATTTACAAATATTTTTTATTAATTTTTCATCCTGTAGTCAAGTTTAAAAGCATTTTGGTTGGAAACAAATTTTTGTATAAATTAAAAGCTTCAGACATGGATATCGTTGAACGCTCCGTTAATTTTGTGAAATTCTTTACACGCTACAGGGTTTGTTTCGATGAATAATTTATTTAGCCAACTCTTTCCAATTGACCTTCTATTTTATCATAGTAGCGTTAACGCTTATATCTTAACAAGAATTTTTTGTCATAAATTTCTTGAAGACATCGTTAAACTAGAAAAAATATTTCTCAATTTAAAGTACTGGTATATATCAATGGCTAATTAGTCAAACAAAAATTCATAGAAAATCCAACATGACCATAAATACTAAATTATTATATATATCAGCAGTTCAAAACAAAATGTTTACGTTACTACCTCAAAAACAGCGGTAAAATGATTGTCATATTAAAGTTTTTCAACTCTGCGATAATAAATGTTTATTTTATGATTTTTATTGTTTTGGCAACATTATGATAAAAATCAATATTAACAAAACTTGGCTAAATATAGCACTGTATCTAAAAATATCAAATAAATTACATCGATTTTTGGTCGACGTTTTCTATTATTATCATTTCAAATTATTTTCAAAAATAATTCATACAATTTAAAAGTAGTTCTTACTCCTGCAAATTTAAATAAATTCCAAGCTTATCTAAATCTCTCTGCCCGGAGGCTTTAATTTTCAATAATGTGCATAAATATTCTACTGTTTAAAAATTTCTTGGTTACGCACTAAACCTCAAATTTAATAAAATCAACTTTACTTTCTATTTATAAGTAGAATCCAAGGATTTGGGTTGAAAACCTAAAATTATTTATTCAATAAAATTTAATATTTGAGAGTCCTATGATAACACAATATAAAAATATACTCTCCTCCTGTTAAAATTGTTCTTTTTTTTTATAAAGTAACGTATTTTACAAAATTGGACAAGCTTAAATGGGCTGTAAACATTAGGAATTGAATCAACTGTAAACGATAATATTAGCTGTTAAAACAATAAGTGAGCAAACATGCTTCCAAAAAACTGCGGAATCATAAAAATAGGTACGATAATATAGGTATTGAATCATAATTGCAAATTCTTCAGTATTTAAATCACGAAAACTCTATTAAATTTCTTTATTGAAGTATCCAAAACGTTATTTTTAATAACAATATATAAAATACATTAGGCGAAGCAAACGGATAAAGTTAGTTTTAGGAATCCATGAGTAATTTATAAGATCTTACCAATCTATTTCATCCATGATAAAATATAATTTGAAAATTAATATCATTTTTATCTAC